TTGTGAATCATAGTGTAGCCTATATAGTATAGAATAGAATAGAATAGAATAGAATAGAATAGAATAGAATTACTTTATTGATCCCAAACTGGGAAATTGTGGCGTTACAGCAGCAGGTTGTCCAAACACACAATATGAGTAAAAAAACACAATATAATATTAAATACAAAGTAAATAAGCACTAAAAATATCAAAACTAAGAATGGGAATATATACAACCTGATTTAACTTAGCATTACTAGTCTTAAATATGTATGTATAATATATAAGATTAAATGTAAATGTGTAAAAACAGAGTTGTAAATGGACAGTACATATGAAGCTGTGCAATCAGTGATACATAAGTTAAAGTGCAGGAGTGTAGACATGTTATCAGCAGAGCCTAAGTAAGTTGCAGCCTATATTGGGCTTTGATATCAAGTATATTTGATGTTTTTTTCATCTCTGGTGCCTTTACTGTATTTATTTATCACATCATTATTTCTGAGATAATGCTCGGCCATTGCTGCTTGTCCATTCTCCAGAAACCTTTGTTTATTTCCCTTTGTATGCATCCTCAAGTTAAATGAAAAAGGGAGAGAGAAATTGTAAATTGACCTTTCTGTGACAGAGACAATAAAGTCTACTTCTCTAATATGTTGGGATGGGAAGTGGGAACACATTTCCTTATGTCTTCACCACTTCCTGAAATGTGCACATTGATCTCCCCGTTGATGACATAGAACAAAACCACTTTACACACATGTGGTCAAAGAATTGAATTTGTGATTGTCTATCGTTGCAGAGTTATTGTGTAACACAAACACTCAAACTGATCATTCTATAAATGGAATGATATACAGAATTAAATGCCGTATAGCGTGAGTCAAATTACAAAAAAAAAGTCAAATTCTGCACTTTTAATTCGAGGTTTCACACCTGCCTTTGAATGGTGTGAAGAAACGTTTAATGAAACTATAAGGATTGTTCAGGCGATTACACCAACATTAAACTGTGTTTATAATTTAGTTTCAATTCTTCAATTAACTCAGAAGACGCTTTTATCCAAAGCGACATCAGAGAGTTACAGTAAGTACAACACAAGCAAGGATCTAGAAAGGAGGTTTTAAACTATACGTGTAGTGTACTAAAGGCCCCTCAGGTATATCTCGTCCCCTTAAGGGGCCACAACTCCTCACCATGGGACAAATCTTCAAACCCCGATCAAATCAACCGGCTTGAAAAATGCAGCTAATAGACTGTGTACAATATAATAATGTCACAGTTAAAAGTTAGCCATGAGAGGACATTTTATGCTTTAAGCTGAATATTGTACTGTTAGTACTTCTTGACTTTGTCTTAATGAGGGCTTCAACTTATAATTGTTCAGTAAATGATGTTACCTGTTTGCTTGGATGGAGACTTTGTACATTTCTTCCATCACTATTTTAAATTAACAAAATAATCAGTGCTGCAGAGACATTTTGTGTTTGAATTCTTAGTTTACTGAATGTGTAATATTAATAATAATAATAATAATAATAATAACTTTATTTCTATAGCACCTTTTAAAAACACAGGTTTACAAAGTGCTTTGACAAACAACAAAAACAAGAACAAACTAAACCAAACACAGAAGAACATAAACAACAACAAGAACATAACAAATGTAAAATACTAAAAATAATTAAATACAATTCAACAGAAAAGAACCCAAAGTGCACGATACCCAACAGACATATAGAACCAGACCATCACAAGAACCATCACAAGAACCATCACTAGAACCATCACAAGAACCATCATAAGAACCATCATAAGAACCATCACAAGAACCATCACAAGAACCATCACAAGAACCATCATAAGAACCATCATAAGAACCATCATAAGAACCATCACAAGAACCATCACAAGAACCATCACAAGAACCATCACTAGAACCATCACAAGAACCATCACAAGAACCATCATAAGAACCATCACAAGAACCATCATAAGAACCATCACAAGAACCATCACAAGAACCATCACAAGAACCATCACTAGAACCATCACAAGAACCATCACAAGAACCATCATAAGAACCATCACAAGAACCATCATAAGAACCATCATAAGAACCATCATAAGAACCATCATAAGAACCATCACTAGAACCATCACAAGAACCATCATAAGAACCATCATAAGAACCATCACAAGAACCATCATAAGAACCATCATAAGAACCATCACAAGAACCATCATAAGAACCATTATAAGAACCATCATAAGAACCATTATAAGAACCATCATAAGAACCCAGGCAACACAAGAACCATCATAAGAACCATCATAAGAACCATCATAAGAACCATTATAAGACCCATCATAAGAACCCAGGCAACACAAGAACCATCATAAGAGTCTGTAAAAGTATGTTTTAAGAAGGGATTTAAAAGAATTGAGGGAATCTGCGAGTCTTATCTCCTCAGGGAGGTCACAGTGTCTCCCTTATCCCATCAATTCTACAAAGGGTTAAACCATAAAGCATTCAGCCTGTCATAAGGATAAACATGAAGCCTATTTATTGTGTATATAACAGGTTGAATAGTTCACCACAGCTTCTTTGTTGGGCCTAGGAAATCTGCAACCTCGTGCCACCAAAGCCAGTGAAAGAATGCACTGTCTTAGTGAAGTCACATCTCTAAGAATCAAGTCAATGTCTTATAAAAAGAAAACCCTCATTAAGGTTTCAGCTCATTCCTCCTCCCTTCATGTTGCAGCCCAGAGCACTGCAAGAACAATCAGGATCACATAATCTGCTACAATCACACTTATTGTTATGTTGTTGCTTATTTACAGTCACATGGCACACATACTAATTTACTAATTTACAAATGATCCCTGCACTCATGCTCACTTCATTTGTCTGTCTACTCGCCGTTATATTGAATAGTTTCTGCTGATAACATGTCTACACTCCTTCACTTTAACTTATGTCAATACTGTCCATTTACAACTCTGTTTTTACACATTTACATTTAATCTTTCATATTTCATAGGCGTAGTATAGAAGTAGTGCTAAGTTAAATCCTGGTTGTATATATTCACATTCTTAGTTTTGATATTTTTAGTGCTTATTTACTTTGTATTTAATATTATATTGTGTTTAATTCTGCTAATATTGTGTTTTTTACTCATATTGTGTGTTTGGACAACCTGCTGCTGTAACGCCACAATTTCCCAGTTTGGGATCAATAAAGTAATTCTATTCTATTCTATTCTATTCTATTCTATTCTATTCTATACAGTGTAGCGTCATTGTTAGTGCATTACTGCCGCCTACAGGTCAAGCTGAGTACAACACCAGAGATGGATTCCCAATATGACTGTCAGAGAAGTTAAACGACCCATTGTGCTGTCTGCTGAAATATTTACAAAACTATGACATCTATCTATGAATCTATATGTCCAATATGTAACAGTTTACTGTTTGTTCTGTCTTCTGTTTTTTTTATTTATAAATCCCTTTCTGTTGAACACCCTCCTCTTTATGACATTTATTTATTACAGGTAAAAGGAAAATAAGCCAATGATTGGCCCTCTGTTGTGACATGTGACCTCCAATGGTTGAGTTATTACCAGGAAGAGTCAACTTCCCCGTATAACTGAGAATTCACCCTGAAGGTTAAGGCGGGCTGTCGCTCTCAGACTCTGAACATCAATTACAAACTTCTGGATTTAAAAAAATAAAATAAAAATCACACTTCAGCAATGATGACAAAAATGCAGCACAGATGGCGACTGTTATTTCTGATTCTTGAAGGTAGGAGTTATGTTTGTATTCTTTTCCTTTCTCTATGAACCACTGCCACACCTTTACACAGGTGCGGCCTCCCCGGGCCCCCTGTTGTCTCAAGGGGGGGGGGGGGGCACTTTGAGCCAAATTTAACATGCATTTTGTTATTTAGTTGAATTTTCGAATAAAGTTGGTTTGACTAGGTTTGAGTCTTTGCCGCAATCAAGACACACAATGTAGGCTGTTTTGCATATTTTGTAGAGCAGAGAGCCCCCCCACTCCACTTGCAAAGGGGGTTCTCAACTTCGGCAGCAAACAGCACAAGCGGGGGTCCTGTGGCCTGTTTGTAATGTCATTGATTCCACCCCTTAGCACCCCCTTTGCTGGGCCCCTCGCTGCGGTCTGAAGTTTTAAAAACCTAGTCGTCTTGTCTGATTTCTGTTTACCTTGCAGTTTTTCGTCACATTGAAAGTGTAAAAAACAAAATAAAAAACTGTAATATTTACAGTTTATGATGAAAACTTGATTGATAAGTTGTTTCATCACAGGCTTAGAGTCTTTTGTTTGTGGCTGCAGGTGTTGTAGACCACTGAGCCATTCACAGACTGACATACCCTGCTCTTATAACACCTGTGTTAATCATTAATCCAGCTTCTTGCCAACTAACCGGAAGACTGATTGTGTTAAAATTTAAAAGAGAAACGCAGGAAAAGTAAATCGTTTAAACACATATAAGCTTGACTTGTAAAAGTATATTGTGTTGTTTGATTACACATTTTTGTTTGGGTGGGAAAAAAGAACAAACATTAGATTAATAACCTTTAAGAAAAAGAGTGGTTATATGTCTGACATGCGTTTCCCTTTATTTCAGCTCTTTCCTGCTGCAGTGCTATGCAGGTTTCCATTCAAGAGAAAGAATATGAAGTTGCAAGAGATGGAGAGATTATTTTGACATGTTCATTCAACCCCGCCAGACCAATAACCAATGCATTAGTCCTGACGTGGGAAGCTTCCCCGGATGAACCCGGGAAACCAATGGTGAGAGGTTAATGCAGCTCAAACTGAGTCATGGTTGACATCTTTTTAAGAATGCATGTGGTAAGGGGGGGGGGGGTGAGGGGGGCCATTACTGATATATCATTCATATGTTTTAGTTTCCTTTGCAGCTTTTGTAAATTAATCTAAAAAAAAAAGTTTAAACTTAATTAATTATCATTTCTTGTGTCTGTTGAAAGTCCATTAATATAGGGATACTAATTCTTTGAGATATGTTGAATTCTTCTCAGAAAATGTAACACAACTAAGTTGCTTAAGTTACCTCAACAAATAGTTAACCGTACCTTTTGGTGCATCTATTTTGAAAACAGTTAGTTTTCATATCTGGTTTCAAAGTTTTGAGAATGTACTTTAATTTTTAATTTTTGAGTGTTTTTTCTAAATTAAAATGGAAAATAATTCACTGCAACAAATACAAATAAAAGTTTAAGGAGACGTTCCCGCGCTCACTGAATGTAATGCATATAAAGCTTCAAACTAGGAGCTCCTCCCTGCTGCAGGTATAATGCTCTGTGACCTTTGTTCAGTCTGGTTTACAGTTGGCCTCTTTTCCTTAACCGCTGCAAGGCAGAAGAAAATGAAACTGAATGAGTTTTACAATCTAAAATAAGGTTATAGGTTTGCAACTATAGGGGACAGATTATTAATATTAAAGTCATTTAGAGTTAGCCTTTTTTTATTCTAATAATGTTTTTTAGGATGATTCACTAAGATCATCAAAGAATAGATGTTCTCCATATTTGGGAGCTAACTAACATTTCTCACACAGGAAGTTAAACAGTAAAGCAGGATTTGCTAGCTTGTTGAACTCATGAACAGTTGGAAAACAAGGAGAGGTGGAGCCAAGTGCAGAATAAACTAAAAGCATTTAATAATCAAAAGAGGCCAAAGGCAAACAAAAACTTACTTCCAAGAGTTCAACAAAAAAAAAACACAGGGATCAAAAACAGGGAGCCACACATAAGCCCGACCAAAACCTGACATATACCAACAAACAACATCTAACAATGAACTGACCCAGATAGGAAGAAACATTGAGACTAAATAAACATGGGGTAATCAAACACAGGTGAGACTAACGACACAGGTGAAGACAATGAGGGCAATCAACACTGGAGGGAAACACACAGAGGAAGGATTAAACACAAGAAACACTGAGGACAACTCCAAAATAAATACATGAAACACTGAAGACACTGTAGATCAAAAACATCTAAACTGTGAAAAACTAAACTAAACAGAACAAATCATGAATCATTAAAAATGACAATAGGCCTAGGTTTATTTGCTGTGTATGTGCTATGTTTTATTATGAATTATTTGCGGCATTAGCATTACTGTTGTAGCTAATTGGAGCTAACTGGCTAAATTTGGGGGGCGGTTGTAAACTTTGCTGCACTGGTGGAGGTGATGTGCTAAAAGATGAGAGTACACAAACACCATCACCTTCATGATGTAAGATTTAATCAAATATAAATTAATTGTAGTTATTAGGTAAACTAATTTAGCATTGTTAAAAGTTAACTTTAAATGGAATCTCCAATTATTTTTCAAACATCTTGTTTATTTATCTTTCAAAATGTTGTGATCATTAAACACTATCCTTATTCAAGTATTAACACTCAGTTTTCAAACTGTTTGTAGTGGCAACTTAACTCGAACAAAAACCCTCTTGCCACTTCTTGCAGGATTAGAAGTTTCTGACTCGTAGGCTACTTTCCAAAAGACACATAATCCAAAGATGAAAGGAGGCAGATTTAAAGTGACAAAAACAGACGATTTATTCCTAAAAAAAAAAAAAAGAATTGCAGGTTACAAAAGTAACTTTGTTTTTATTCACTTGTACCCACATGGCTATTTACGCCAATTATCTGCGCTTTACGACAGAGGGAACACTTTGCAGCAGCACTTATAACCACACAGACCTTCTATAAACACACAATGTTTCAATACATGATAAATATAAAAAATGTAAATTAATTATAAAATTCAAAAGCAAAAACTCTATTAATTATAAACATATAAATACAAAATTATACTAATGGGCAAATTATATTTTTATATCCTGTTGTCCTGTATGGCTCTAACACTGTTATTAAAGTTAGAAATGTCATGGAGATATGTGTTATGGTATTAATAATCATTATGATAGACATACATTTATTATGTTGAGCACATGTCTTATCTTTATTCTTCAGAAAGCGGTGGCAACCTACTTCATAAACAATCCAATTGACATATCGCCTGCCTATGAAGACCGGGCCTTCGTGGAGGTTGACGTTAACAATAAAGTGAGCACACTACGCTTAACAAAGGTAACCACGAAGGACAGCCGTGATTTCCAATGCAGCGTCAAGGTCCCCAATGATGATGAGGGAGTAACAGCTGCCACCACTTCCCTTTTGGTCCTGGGTGAGACATTACCACTGACACATTTTTAATTCTATTTTTTTTAATTGTGAATTCTATATATGGTACATGTAAGTAAAATCCATTCTGTATGTCATTAAAGTGCAATTTATCTGCTTTGTTCCAGTGCGTCCCTCTCCACCAATCTGCAAGATTGAGGGAACAGCAGAGTACTTTCATGACATCAGCCTCACTTGCATTTCTGAGGAAGGATCCCCACCACCGTCCTATAAATGGATGAGCTACACTGTTGAAAACGTTTCCAGACCCTTTCCACCTAAGTCAACAGAGAGTAAGCATCTCAACCACATGTGTAACCTGAAAGCACACATTTTTTCCATTATCAGTGTTGATAAAGTATCACAACATGTCTCATTATCTCAGATGCATTTACCCTATTTTTTGTGTGTGATTATGTTGCAGAGGATGGAACTCTATTTCTATTCAATATCTCACAAGAAACCTCTGGGTTCTACATGTGCTCATCAACAAATCGAATTGGAACTGCCAAATGTGAACTTACTTTAGCTGTGATGCCCGGTGAGAGTTTTGAATTACTTACTTGTTCATCTATGTGTGGTAATCCCACAGTGAGTAATAAGTTCTGCAGTTATGCAGCAGACTCTTTAAAAAAAAAACCTTGATCAACTCAAAGGACACAAAATTAACAAATATAGCAAGACACAGATATAATACATTCTTTTTAGTTTGTGGACACAACAAAAGCTTAGAGGGGAGTGAATATTGGACTTACCTTTATATGATGGCTAGAAACACACTTCTGGTGTTGCCCTATCTCTGCTTGATGTGTGAATAGGGAAACATCTGTTTGTGCAGCAACTGTCCACACTCTAAGAAATTGCTGGAAATTTACATTTCAACAGTATGATCCTGTTATGTTTAAATACAGGACATTACTGTATTATAGCGGTTTACAACAATATTTTACTGTATTATTGCTTGAAGGAAACAAAACGGTAATTTACCGTAATTTTTGCAATGCATTTTGGGAAAAAGAAGTTGAGACCACATGATTGAAAGGACAGTGGACAGGTTGTTTATTCAGTTATGAAACTATAACAGAATTTCTTTCACTTCTCGGTTTAAAACTACCAAAACTCTTTTATGCACATTGTATACATTGGAAATTGCCTTGCTTGAGATTGTTTTGCCTATTTAACCTTCATGTTCTTAAACTGTATGTTCTTATAAATTCTTATAAAATAACAGCTTTTTGCTGTATTTACAAAAACGGTAGAAAACTGTAAATTTCAGCAACAGCAATATACCGTTAATTTTACAGTAACTTCCTGGCAACCCTACTGCCAGTTGTTTACCGTTTTTAACAGGGGAATTTCTAAGAGTGATAGCTTAGTGATGTAACTAGGCTAATCAGCTAAATAACATATATTTTTTTTATTTTCAAAAGAATCAAAGTAGTTTGAACAGAGCTGTACAGATATGCTTTAAAGAGTTTGGTGTGTGGTGTTTTTTTTATCTTGTTAGCTTTTTTCAAAACCCAAATAAAAAAGCTAACTTATACTGCGATTCAATAGCTGGCTAACTAGCTTATCACGTCAGTCATGATGCTAACAGCACAACTTTAAACGCAAACAACATTTCAGTCTTCTACAATTTGTATTTAAAAATAAGGTTAGAACTACAACATTTATAATAAAAAATAAATAATAAACAAAGTCTTATTAACTGGGTAAAAGACTCTTTCTTTCGCAAAGCAATCTCTGTCCTTGTTTAGGAATCAGGCAAGCAAAACCCACACTAGCTTTTCATCCGACCAGGAGTTGGTTTGTCCTGGTTTTAAATGTTGTGTAGTTAATAGCAATAAAACTAAGAGATTAAATATATATGAACAATGATGCATAATATCCTAACCATCACTTAAAATCGCTAATCCAAATAAATTCTCAGGGGCGAAACGTCCAAGCAAAGAACTTGCTCTTGGAGCTAATAATAGCCTAGCTGGCTAGTTAAAAATAAAACGTGAATATTTTTTTTATTTCAGCCTGCAAAAAGAAGGGTTGTGGGACCTGCTTCAGAAGTCTTCTCTTGTTAACCTCTTTGTGGAATTAAGGATCCTTTATTCAAGAAATAAACAAACATTTGAGCCTTTGTTCGTATTGAAAGATAATTCTACAATTCTACAATTCATTTAGCAGATGCTTTTATCCAAAGCGACGTACATCAGAGAGTAAGAACAACACAAGCAAGGATCTAGAAAAAAGGGAACAATGTCAGTAAGAGCAAACGATCAGCTTTGAGTCTGATTGGACACACAGGTGCTGACAGGAAGTGACCAGAGGCAAAGCACAACATTGAGGGCAGTTCTTGAGAGCTCTAATCAGTATAGAAACCATCTTATAAGTCATCGTTATCAAACAAAAACCATCGTCATTACCATCATCATCATCAATAATATGGAGACCATCATCATTAAGTTAGTAGGTATTCATGAAAGAGCTGGGTCTTTAGCTTTTTCTTAAAGGTACACAGGGACTCTGCAGATCAAAACATGGATATGCTGCTTCCATCTATATCACTCCTACTACTTACCTGCAGCAGTCTGTAGAACGTTCTGTAACCATGACGATCTGCCACGTCACTCAGGTTCACAGGAACTTCCAAAGGTCCACATAAGACACACAGTATCAAAAGTTCTAAATGGCTAATGTAGCTGTTAAAAAATATTTTCCCTTTACAGGCGGCATGAAAATTGGATCCACTGCAGCTATAATTGGAGGAGTAATCGCAGGTCTTCTGGTCCTGGCGATTGTTGTTTTCTGTTGCTGCCGGAGAAAGGGCAAAAATGAAGAGCAGGATGAAGGGTATGTATGATATGTCCTGTAGGTTTCTGTGGTGGAATTTCTGTAGTTCTCTAATGTAGTTCTCTGTTCTCTAATGTCAGTCAGACCTGACAGAGTTCAGCTGTTATTAGAACACCAAGGACAGCTTAGAGAGTGTCAACTGTTTTTCCTGATATCTGTAAGGATGTTTGGTAGACTTATTGTCTGCTCCAGTGTAACTGACGTCACAGTTTAGTCTAGGTGGATCAATGTGACCCTGATAATGGTAATGTCTTCTAGGATATATGCGATGCCTTTCGAAAAGTTCGGCAGATGTGATTGAGCAAGACACGAGCACAGAAGTGTGATGTTGAATCATGTCTCCTCATGAGTATTCTTCTTGTGTATAAACTTTCATCAATGTAAGCCATCTGAGTCAACTGAGTCTTATTGTATGGAGTCAAGTCTTAGTAATTTCCTCAACAGTTTCTGCTATAATTTTCAAAATTGAATTTTGTGTTGTGATTTTTGTATTCAAGTTGTCTATTGGTAGTAACAGCACATCTTTCAATCAGCCACCAATACTCACAAATGTCCTTCTTGTGTGTGTTTGTGTGTGTTTGTTGTTTTGCCATCGACCATTGTCTTAGTTCCCCTGGTGACGTGGCATATTATGACAAAGATGCTGCTGAAGCTGAGGAGTACTTGGATGACAAGTCCAACACCAAGCCAAAGCAGAAGTACAAGGATGAAGACAAAGATGTTGTTCCTCAAAGCAACAACAGCGTAGGGTTAGCTGTAGCTAAGTCTGAGGACGATCAGCACAGTAATCACAGTGGTCGAGGAAGAAGCAACGGCAAGGGCAGTGATTTTGACTCCAGACGTTACCAGGAAGACCAGCGCGATCAATATCGTGGCAGTCGAGATCGCCTTGACGATCAACGTGATAATTACAGAGGAAGTCGGGATCGCCTTGACGAGCCGCGTGATCATTACAGAGGAAGTCGGGATCGCCTTGAAGAACCACGTGATACTTACAGAGGAAGTCGGGATCGCCTTGACGATCAACGTGATACTTACAGAGGAAGTCGGGATCGCCTTGACGATCAACGTGATACTTACAGAGGAAGTCGGGATCGCCTTGACGATCCACGTGATCATTACCGAGGCAGTCGTGACCGCCTTGATGATAACCGCCATGACCGCCATGCTGGCAGTCGTGATCACATCGCTTACATTGATGATGGAGATAGAAATGAGTACAGATAATTCTTGTTACTGAATGTTTTTTTTTAAAGGCTTTCTATGTGATTTTTCACACTTAAATGTAGAAATCAAGTATATCCTCTGAAAATAACTCTGTGAGTCATGACTGTCTACAATGGGTGTAACACCCGAGTCCCACTGTCTGTCATGTTTTCAGAGTTTTCAGAGTCCTATCTTCACTTTGTTTACATCGCCAGGACGGCCGGCTGACTCCTCCCCTCATGTATAAAAGTTGTTTAATTGAGGGACTAGAGAAAAGAAGAATAACATACTGTACTCACTGCTTAACTGTGTTTCTAGATCACGCTCATTTCAGGTAAATTTACATGCAGTGTGAAGATACCAGCATAATAAAGATCGCTAGCATTAGCATGCTAACACAACAATGCAGCGCGAGTTGTTTTGGTTTCATGCTGGTGCTCAAGGGCGACATCTGCTGGATCAAACAAATCGCATATAAAGCCTTTAATGCATTTAAAATAATTCCCCCTTCTCTGTTCACTTTTTATAACCAAAAATTCTCTTAGTTTAAAAAAAATAAAAAATAAATGAAAGATAAGAATAAATTTTGGGGGGGGAGAGCTTTCTTTTAAGTAAGCCAGTCAATGCAATAATTAAATACTCTGATGTAAAGTGCAGAGAATGTTATTTCTAATACGTTTGTTGGTCTTTTTAATGAAGACTTAGCCTGAGCCAAACATGCAATCTGTTCACTTAACATCATCAGTAATTTAACCTTTGATGCAAATTATCTTCTGCTGTCATTTTGGCATCGTTGTGAAACAATTTGGGAGGCAAAAACAGCATCTACTTTTGTCACTCCCTCATGATTTTTTTAAAACTTTTTCTTTACTTTAACTTTCTTTTTTATCTGTACTTTGTTTAGAAAAAGTAAATGCCTCGGCTCTACCACAGCTGCATAGAATAACATCTATTTCAATACATTCACGCGAGTGGAAAAAGTTTGTTTAGGTTATTTCACTTTTGTTTTTTTAAGTGCCTGATGATGATTTTTAAAAAGTCTTTGCAGCTTTTTTGTTCATGTCATGTGACTAATGACTCATCTTGCATGTTAGATCTGATTTTTTTTACAAAGCAAATCAAATCAAGTTTAATAAATAAAACTGGTAAAATATTTATAGACTTTCTCTTTACTTAAGTTTCTGCTTTTCATGCCACTTTCTGTTTGTACATCAACATTACAGAGGGAAATATCGTATATGTTGAAGTTATGCAAGTAAATAAAATGCCCTTTTCTCCAATTTAACATAGACTATAGGACATTTTGCTGCATAACCTTTAAGTATTTAAAAACTTTTATATTGTTACTTTAATGCTTACTGATTAGAGGTTTGCACTACACAAGCAGTGTGAAAGTACACTTTGGGTTAATTGTGAAGGCATACCTCTTCATTTTTTTTCAATCCACAGTATGAAGAGACTGTTAGAAAAAAATATCAACACATTTAATCAAAAATAAAAATTAACATTAGTTTGATTCCAATTCAAACCACTTAAATCATAAATCAGCCTCACTAACCACCACCCTGTTCAACTGTCCACAACTTTGTCGATGACAACATTTTTCTATGTAGGCCCAGGGGCGCCTCCAGGAACTCCGGGCCCCATGAAAAGATATCACATTGGGCTCCTACCACGGCCCAAACTCACCCGGAAAATGTCTATGACCGCACCTCCACAAATGACCCGTAAAAACTTTGAACAACTATGCTTTGTTTTACACCCTGAAAATGGAAGATAAATAATCACTGTAATATTTAAACTTTGTAATATACATACCTTTCAGACAGTTGAAGCCGGGGGGGGGGGAGAGGGGCCTTTGAGACAGACTCCACATTTTTGACAGAAAGGAATTCTGAATGTTTTTTTATTTATTCAGACAATTTTAGTTTTCTTATTGTGGTTATAACTTAGAGAAAGAAGCAAAATAAGAAATACATTTTTATTTCAGGCCCATGAAGGGCCCCCCTCCCCCTGGGTGGTCAGTCCCACTCTCCCCCCCCCCTCCCACTACGACGCCCCTGTGTAGGCCTAAATATTTGATACTAACGCATGATTTGTATTTGTTACAATATGTTTACAGTGTGGTAATAGTGGGGTACAGTACCCTACTTAATACTTTACCCACCATAGCCCGTGTGCAGTAAAATTCCTGCAAACTCACAGTCCCCCCTGACCTGGTTTTATCATGGAGCTCTCCCCCCCCTCCCTCCATCTTCACACCGAGCAGACCTCTCTATCTGGCCGCCAGACACCGCTGCAACCCCCGCTACTTTAAGAGTAAAATTGGACCCCAGAGGAGGAAAAACTGAAGTTCTTAGCTGCACTAACTTCATGTTTTAATGAGTGAGACTGCAGAAACTTAAAGCATACTAAGTATTTTAAAGCAGCAGTAGTTTTGGGTGCCGGGCTCACCTCTGTGTGAAGTGGTACAGTCCCGTTAGTCTCCGCAGTCTGGAGTCCTGTGAGCTGCACAAGTTTAACACCGGGCGACGAGAATGAGCAACATGCGGATTAAGAGCTGTTTACTATAAAAAAAAAAATACAAACGGATTGTATGATGAACTTTTACCTGCTGGCCTTGTTACTGGGAGCATCTGGTAAGTTTTATTCTCTTCACTAAAAAGATGTTTTTCTTACTAAAATGCGTCATATTTACGACAACAGCGCAACAGGTTGATCCCATGTAAACTCAGTGATTATCAGGCAACACTGTAACTTAACGTTTTCATTTACCTTTTTATTCGAGATAAATGAGCGACTTTTTATGAAACATATTAAACCAAAGCTGGAGTTAGTAAACTGTGGTATTCATGACTGTGTTTTCTTCTACTTCATCTCCTCTGAACGCCTATAATCATTTCCCCTCTGGGGGTTTATAGCTTTGCTGATACAGGCCTAGCCTATGTGTTTGTATATTACTAACCCATTATTACACATTTAATCTTAATTTAGGTTTTTTGAAGTAGCCTACAACAATATTTACTGTAATAGAGCTACTGTGGTAGCACTACGAATAAGGCGAAACTACAAGGAATAATGTATAGAAAATACATTTTTAACTGTTTTCATTTTCAATTTGGAGTTGTATAAATGTTCCAAACACACATAGGCTGAAATGTAAACATATAATGTTGTTTAAGGTTTTGAAAGGTGTACATTTGAAGCTCTTCTTTTTCATTCATAGTTGCATATTGAATATGTTGAAGTTGAAGGCTGTTAATTCAATTAAAGTTAATTTTTAATACATCTAAAGGATCCATTGAGAGATCACAACTGGAATTTTTCACTATTTTGACCAAATATGAAACAAAAATGTAATAAGAAATGTAGCTCAGAAATGTATAATAGGCCTAAATGTTAGTTCAGTCCTTCAGTAACTCTAATATAAATAACACAACATCTTGTAAAGTGCATCAAGTCTCAAGAGCGTTATAAATAAACCTGTGATCCATCACTCCTGACACATCCCTATATTCACCTCTTTTATCAAAAACTTTTGTGTTTGGTAAAAAGTATTTTATCAGAATTAGAGGCTCTATTCGGTCCTATCATTGTTATATTTTGTCGGGCCAATGAGTCAAAGTGAAGGAATGTAGGACTCGGTAAAAGCAGGAAATGTGACAGCTCTGGAGAGGAAAAGAAGTCTGACCGTGTTCAGGAAACATGCAGCGTCCTGCAGCAGTGACCACACGGAGACGGTATTTTAATAAAAGCTATCAGGCTAAATCTTACACAGTGAGGTCTGTATGCAGGTGGAGGAGGAGGAGACACTCACTCTGCAAACTGTTCATTAAAACACAGTGAGTCACACCTGATGCAGACTGCAACATAAACAATAGTTAACAGTCAGGTTTTTAAATAGTTTTCTAAAGTCTCCTCACCTCTAACTGAGGCGGACATTCACGGAGTAACGGTTTGGTTTAAATCTCCAACAGTTAATTGGTCTGTTTCCAACCAGCTGGAAGAAAGCGGATGCTTTCATTGGTTGAGTGTTTGTGACCCCCCCACTTCCCCCACTTCTCCTTCCTTAAGTTGGACAGAGGTGGGGGCCTAACAATGGACTGGTCCATGAAAGAAGAACACAAAGGGATGACCAGAGCTTTTTCTGTGGGAGGAATTTAGGAGCTGCTGGGTTGTCCTTCCTCTTGTTATCTTCTGTATAAATCATTAAATAAACTTTAAACTGAAAGTGTAGTTTCCTTATCAAGAGGAAACTGATGATGCTATCGAGACTGTACTGTGTCTAAAATGTAAATAGTTTGATACTTGTACATAAAGGACTGTTTCATTAATATAGTTGATCTTTCAAGCAAAATGAAAAAAAAACTCTCCGGTTTCATCTTCTTCAATTTGAGGATTTGCGGCTTTGCCCGATTTATAAACAGAAAATCTTCAGTTAATTTGTTGAGTCATTCATTTCCGAATTTGAATCATTTCAGTTCCTGAGTCTCGGTTTTACAGCTTTCTGACACTATGCTCCCGTTAGTTACGATTATTATTATTGACAGATTAATCTGAAATAAAAGTAAAGGGTAGTTACTGTATATGACTTTTGACTCGTGCTCAGAAAATATTGTAGATAAAAAGTTAAAAACGGTCTTAAAGGAAAGGCCCGCTGCAGGCTTTTGTTTTGATTTCCGGTCTTCTGGGAAATGTTTAGAGGGACTTCCTGCCACACCTCGACTTAATACGACTCACAGAAAGCACCCACGACTGTGTCTGCACTCTCCATCCCCTCCCTGTGTGATGACAACCCCCTGCCTCTCCACAGCCCCCCCCCCCCCCCCCCTCCCCACCCAACACACATACAGGAATTTGACCTCTCTGACCCTGGCACAGAGCAGCAGAGGAACCCCCCTACACACAACTTATCTCTGCTCCTGTCTTTAATATGATGTGAAATATGTCCCAGGTGTAGTCCTCCATACAGACAAAGGCGAGGCACAGCTGTTTCATCTTTGATCACAAACTGTTTAAACTGTTTTTAGGTGTTTTTGCAACTTTACTTACTCAGCTAAACCTAATGTAGTGTTCAATTATAATGCCGTTTTAGCTTTTCCAAGACATTTGTATCAAAGAGGGTCGACTTTATACGACTATAATATAGCTCGATGATTTTTCACTGAATGGCGATACTCGACATACATCGATATGTCTTTTATTAACAGTCAGTTGTACAAGTTCAACATAATAAATAATAATAATAATAAATACCGGTTTGTGAAAATGAATACATTTTCTGCATAACAAAATAAACAGTTTTGTGTTTTGTTGTCTATTTAGTTTGTTGAGTTTGGTTCAGAGAGAGAGAGAGAGAGACAGTGAGATGAGAAATAGGTGAACTGGCAGCTCTACAGAAGACGCGTATAACGTTATTGAACTATATCGATATTAACGATATTGTCCTACTCTATATCTGGATTGAAAATATATCGACATATCGCCCAGGCCTAGCTAAAAGCTCCACAGGAAACCAAACCTGTGTTCTAAAGTCCGGTTCTGTTTGCTAAGTTTATCACTGAGTATTCTCAGGTGTGATTCTGTGCTGTGTTTGAAGTTTGCTGCACACATTTTAATCTCTGAGTTGCGTAACTCTTTGTATAGTTGAATGAATCACATGTCCAGGAGTCATACAAAAGCTGTATATACTCACTGTATATGTTCCCTCCAAGATAATGTACTCACTCTTACTCCCTTTATTCCCCCTTATGTGCTGAAACTCTTTTAAATCCAGGTTGAAGACTCACCTGTTTACAGCCTTTCATTAAACAGCTTTAATAAGATTTTAAACTTTAACTCTGCACTGTAACTTTTAACGCTTTTTATATTTTTACTTTATTTATTTCATTTGAATTATTTTTATTTGAACATATTTTCAGATTTAATAATTTCAGTGATTTTTTAATTTTCTATTTTAATGTTTCTTTTCTTTCCTCTGTCATGATGCTTTTGATGTTTTGTGTGAAGCACTTTGAATCGCCTTGTTGTTGAAATGTGCGACATAAATAAACTTGCCTTTCCTTGTGTGTTTTGTGTGTGTCAGCGTGTGTGTGTGATGGCGTGCATGTCACAGTGCGGGAGAAGCAGCGCATGGCGATGCTCTTCCAGTCGGTGGTCCTCCCCTGTCAGTACCAGACGGCGTCTTCTCAGACTCCCGTGGTGCAGTGGTGGTACAAGTCTTACTGTCGAGACCGCACGCGAGAGTCCTTCACGCTGCCCGAGAGTCTCGCCATCCAGACCTCGGAGCTCGGCGCCTCGTCCCACCTGGAGTGCTCGGACAGCGGGCGCACAGTCCGGGTCGTGGCGTCGGCGCAGGGAGCCTCCATGACGCTGGCTGAGCACTACAAAGGGAGAGACATCGCCATCGTCAACAGTAATGTTTTATTTTTATTTTTTTATGCTTAAATGCTTTCTATGTGATTTTTCACACTTAAATATAATATAAATCAAGTATATCCTCTGAAAATAACTCTTTGAGTCATGACTGTCTACAATGGGTGTAACACCCGAGTCCCACTGTCTGTGATGTTTTCAGAGTTTTCAGAGTCCTATCTTCACTTTGTTTACATCGCCCGGACGGCCGGCTGACTCCTCCCCTCGTGTATAAAAGTTGTTTAATTGAGGGACTAGAGAAAAGAAGAACAACATACTGTACTCACTGCTTAACTGTGTTTCTAGATCACGCTCATTTCAGGTAAATTTACATGCAGTGTGAAGATACCAGCATAATAAAGATCGCTAGCATTAGCATGCAATCAAAAAATCGCATATAAACCCTTTAAGAAGAAAGAGAGCAGCTGTAGGACCACTTTGTGTTTCCTGTTCTCTAAATACACCTCTTTTGTCTTTGGCTCACAATAGAGGAGATGACTACACACACACACACACACACACACACACACACACACACACAAACACCCACAGGTCACACACACACATCCAGGTCCTATTCATGTATGACTCCCTGCTAAACCTCGAGTCTTATCAGGGTAAAACAGCCTTCACCGTGTTGTATCCAGATGTGACGTTCAAACACACACAACACTCAACAACAACGTCCTCCTGACGTTATTTATAACAGCAAAGAGAAACTCTGACTCTGACATCATAATGAATTATCTGTAGAGGGTCAGCACTTGTTGATTCCATGTTTGAGTATTTTTTATGTTTTTTATATTTAGCCGAGTATGTGCTTTAATAAAACATGCACATGATAAAAAGTGTTACAGCTGAAAGCTTAGAGAAATATAAATTGCTGTTAAGTTTTGAGCTACAGGTGATTTTATTAGGATTGTGTATCAAACCTTGGAAGCTTAAAGAAAATTGACATTTCTGAACTTCCAAATATTGTTATTGACCATCTTCTTGGATCAGTAGGAGGCTATTAATGTTTACCTGCTTGGACTCAATCTTTGTTCTTTAACCTGAGTGTTCAAACCCAGCTTGGCATTTAAAAGGAAATGGCTTTCTGGAGGTGATATTGATGTGTCGGTTGTTGTGTTTCAACATGTTTTAAACATTTGAGACAGTTTACTGTCAAGGCTTGGTTTTCAGTACACAGCACCTTTAAGGTATCAACTGAAATATCTCAATACAAAGTAGAATCACTACTCGCTCCGCTTAAAACTATACTTGAGTTTGATCTAAAATTTGATTTTAATGAGTTTGCTTGGAGCCAATCAGTGCAAGTGTCTTTAGATATACTCACTACTACGGCAGCTACCACCCAGACAGTATGTGATTTTAAAATGCCAAAATAATAGGGGATTTGTACAGATACTTAATGAATATTTTTAATATTTAAATTTAAATTCATGGTCAAGGACTATTAGTTACTCAACTAAATGCTTCATTTCACATTTTAAAAAAAAGTATCCAGTAATATACTGTAATTGATAAATGTGGCACAGGTCAGCCTGTTCTATCAGTGCTAGTTTTAAAATACTCCAAACTAAATCAAGCCCAGTATATATAACTGTATGACTGAAGATGTGCTCTGTCCTTAAAACCGGCAGAAACAGAGTGATTATAATGTTTTGGTTTTTTTTAAATCAGAGTTGATCGATTTGAATTTAGATTTAAACGCCGTCTTGCTTGTTGTCTTTTTTTCTCTGCAGAAGCAGACCTGCGTATCGGCGAGCTGCAGTGGGGCGACAGTGGAGTGTACTTCTGCAAAGTGGTCATTGCTGACGATCTGGAGGGGAAGAACGAGGCCCAGCTGGAGTTACTGGTGCTCGGTAATGGCTACATTCATTTTAAAATCACAAATAATAACTCGATAGAGATTCAAACTAACTTAAAGGCTACAATCTAAAGACTACAAAGAGTCTCACAGTCTCTTTACTCCCTTCAAGGGTTTTTACAACAACTTCCATGGAAACAGCCATATGGTGTGTGCCCTTACAAATACAGCCAAAAGCTCATTTTGCATTATTGTGAACCTGTTAGATACAGTTTCATATGTGATCATACGTTAATCTGCACTGGCTGTATGCTCAGGTTTTATCTGTTTTTTTTGCTTTGTCATCTCAATCTTCAGTCAACAAAAAGGTGATGTCCTTTCAGTAAGAGAGGTTGTGGAGGGGTTTTTTGTTGTTGTTATAAAGCCCCTCCTTAAGCCGTTACCATGGCAACTCAGAGGAGGGTTGGGGGTACGTTAAGGGTCGCTGCTGGTGTAGACGTTAAGAGAGGGGAGAAGACAAGAAGCAGGCTAAAACTCTCACTACAATGTGACATTTTCTTCTTTCAGTTTTGACTAACCTCGATGTTGGTTGTAGCTGCTCGTTCATACAGCCCTGCTCCATACAGGCCGCTTAATCTCATTATAATCAGCTCATAGGACAGAAGGGGGGGGGGGGCTTAAATGTGTCAGAATAACAAGACTAGACTGGATCACGGTGCTAGATTATTTGTATTGAAGAAACCGGAATGAGGTTACTGTCATTAGTGCCAGATTTCCCACCCTGAACTCCTCAGTTTTCTTGCCAAGAATTCAATGAAATAAGTTACTAAAACTCTCCCATCTCTCAGTTCAGTATTAAACTACTGACAGCAGCAGATGAGAGTACTTCAGCATTGCAATAATGATGGGAAAAAAGCTAGCTCTGCTTTTTTTCTAAAAGTAACAAAAAAATCTCAAGGTTGAAAATGTTACATCTGGTTTGTCGCACCATAAACAGTCTCCACAGAACCTTCAGAAAAAACATGAAAAAATGTGACTTTGAACATACTAAACAAAAGAGCTATACATTTATAGCTTGCCGTTCACCCCTAATTTTAGGCTTCATGCTAATTTAGGCTAAATGGCTGCAGCTCCATAATGACTGTATAGAAATTAGACCACTAAACTCTCAGCAAGAAAAGCTTTTCCCCAAATTTCTTAGCATACTTATGCAACAAGCTTTTTTTATATATATATATATTTTTTTTGGGGGGGGGGTTATCTCCTCTCCACTTTGTCTTGCAAAATCTTCCCTTACACTCCTCCAGTTCTCACTGCCTCCCTCCCTCTCAGTGCTACATAACTCCCGGCTCTCTCAGGTTACACACTGTTACTGAGCTTCATGGTATGTAGACGAGTGTGCCAGGTCGAGGGAACCAAGATTACTTCTTTTTTTTTATCAAGTAGGGAGGGTACGCTGTGGTTTTTTCTCCCTCCATAGTAACAGTCTTACTCAGCAGTTTGTGCAATCAGTGGGTGTTATGTCTATCCCTGCAGCCAGACAGATCAGTGCCTCTTTACTGTAATTATAGTCCTCCTCACACCTCATCATAAACTCATGAGCACCTGCAGTTGTGTCTTCAGTTTTTATCACACCTGCTGCACTCCTGTTATCCTTCAGTATTTATCAGGTTTGCAAACAGCCGGGATGTTTAGTTTCTCTTCCACCACTTGTTTGTCTCCTACATGAAGCACAAAAGAATCACTGTTTGTTTCTACAGCTTCTGCAACCTTTTTTATCAAGAGTTGCCATGGTAAAATAGTTGCCCCAGAATTGTTATGTGCCCCAGTTTCCACCCCCCTCCCCCTTCACATTTATCCTCACACGCTGTCTCTTCAGGCACATCCCCGGAGCTAACAGAAATGAAATGTAGTACAGTCGGCCCTCTTCTAAAATTAGATTCAAAGTATGGCTGTTATGATCTCTGACCTCTGGCTTACATGACTCATGTGTGTGTTCACAGGCATTTTTAAAACACTTCTAAGAACTCAATGATATCATTTTTAAGTAGCAAAGACTTTAAAAAAAGAAGTGTGATTCATGTGTGAACAAACATCTTATTTTAAGCTAGCAGCTTTGAGCGACTGTTCACATTTTAAATCATGAAAGATGAAAACCTACAAGTATGTACATGGTTATTAGTAGACCATCGTGTTATTATGCTATGAAATAACAAAGCTAACATGCTAATGTTTAGCAGGTATCACTTTTAATGTGTTCTCGGTTCATGTTGAGCGTGTTAGCATGCTAACATTGGCTAATTAGTGCCGCAAACAAAGTACAGCAGAAGCAGGAAGGACAGTTTTACATGGATTTGGTCAAAAATACGACTTTGGGAAAATGATTAAAAAGGATATATAAAAAGGTTATGATTGACATCTTTAGGGGAATGCGACACATTTTTCCACAGTACTTTTCATTAATGTTTTCAGACTTTCAAAGTAATTATTTGCCAACATAAATGATCTTTTTTAGATAAGAGTTTGAAAAACACCTGAGGTATGTTAGGTTTTGGTCCCCTCATGATCTACTTTTTTTTCCTTATTGTGAGTCTCTGACTTTATTTGGAAGCAACTCTGCACACAGGAAAGGTCCATTCCCAAAACACAAGTGTAGAAAATGTATGAAATACATGTATCAGTGTTTTGCTGACTGTTTTAATGTGCTTAGCCAAACATTATGCAGGGGAGCAGGCTGAGGTACATACCAACAAGGTTTTTCTTAAATTGACTTCCATCCACATAAAACAGGAAAAGATACCCTGTACACTAACTTTAAACTTTAAAATGTTAACTCCAAGGTGGTACTGAAGAAACACCTTAGGATGATTGTTAGCACAAATTAAATGGAAATCCAATAATGAGAAAGTTGAGTCTGGATCGTCCTTAGAGTGCCTACTGTGGCTCCAATGTGAGATGTGGTATATTTATTTATCCTTGATGGAAATAAATGATTGTGATTGAGTAAAATGTTCATCTCTTAAGTTCCTTAATTGGTGCTTGAACATTAAAGGCTTTATATGTGATTTTTTTGATCCAGCAGATGTCGCCCTTGAGCACCAGCATGAAACCAAAACAACTTGCGCTGCATTGTTGTGTTAGCATGCTAATGCTAGCGATCTTTATTATGCTGGTATCTTCACACTGCATGTAAATTTACCTGAAATGAGCGTGATCTAGAAACACAGTTAAGCAGTGAGTACAGTATGTTATTCTTCTTTTCTCTAGTCCCTCAATTAAACAACTTTTATACACGAGGGGAGGAGTCAGCCGGCCGTCCTGGCGATGTAAACAAACTGAAGATAGGACTCTGAAAACATCACAGACAGTGGGACTCGGGTGTTACACCCATTGTAGACAGTCATGACTCACAGAGTTATTTTCAGAGGATATACTTGATTTCTATTAAGTGTGAAACATCACATATAAAGACTTTAAATATTCACTCTGCTACCAGATTCTCTAATTTGCCTGACCTTTTGACCTTTGGGGCTCTTGCTTCCTGCTTCCTGCTTCCCGGCCTTCACCTGTGCTCTCCCTCTCTCTGCAGGCCGGACAGGTCAGCCCGACGATATCCTGCCTGAGTTTGATGTGGAGATTATGCCAGGTACGGCTCCTCACCTGCACTTTGTCTTACTGCATGGCAACTTCTGGCTTTCCTTTTATTTAATTTTCACTGTCCAATCAAAACTCTCTTTGACTAACAAATATACTGAACAAATACATGAGCTGCTGGTGTCGTCAAAAAGCTGAAATACCACAACGTTTTTTAAAAGCTTTTATAGAGACTCATAGCTCTTAATCCATTCCTCCGCTGAGGATTTACATTCTACAGGGGATGTATGGTGCCACAGCAAATGGTTTTAAGTGTTTGTTTTTTTTTAATGCTTTTTCGACACACCCTGAGGAAGTGTGTTGTTAGTGTTTGGATTCTTTGGAGATGTGATGAGTGATAAGAGTCTCTCAAGAGTTCCCTAGAGTTTATCTAAAAGTTTCCTTTTTTAGTGCTCTGTGGTCCCTGGATGCACAGAGTGTGATAAGGTAATGATAAGTTAAAACAACCTTATCTGGAGGTAAAAACCAAACGGAAGTGAACCAAAAATGTCTGTCGTTATGGAAAGAAAATAAAAAACGGCTAATTACAACTAAAGGTAGAATCCAACGTTTGTGAGCTGTGATGAACTTTAACAACGGACATACACTATATGGTGATTATTTTATGATTGACCTTTATTTCCCCTTCAAAATAAAAGCATGTGATCCTATAAAGGTGGCTCTAACTGCTCTCACCGTATTATACAGAAATCTGGTTGATGCCCTAAATACATATTTTGCTTATACTGGTTAAGGGTAACTCACAATATGTGGCACACAAAAAGGACAACTTCATGATGCAGCAATCATTGATAAATTGCAAAATAATAATATAATGATTCATCAGGATATCTGATCAAATTATCTAGTGTCAGTTTTATCATTTTATCATGCTTCATCTGTTCACTTCTTTTAACCGCTGCTCTATTCTCCTGCTGCCTTCTTCTTCTTCTTTTTTTATCTTGCTGTCAAATTCTTCTTCGGCCAATTCACTTCTGTTCATGCTACACTAATTCATCTCATAAGTGCCACCGTGAGGAGTCATGAAGTAGTGACGCAGTGAGAGAAATTGGCAGATGAATCTTAATAATCTAATGCAATAGAAAAAAATCTAACTGTAGCACCAGAGCTTCATTAATTGTATCACAAGTCAGGACAACATTTTATTGCTGAATCGATATTTTGTCCCAATCCCTGATACTGAAAGATACAACGCATTGTAGATAGAATTTTATACTAAAGGTGTAATTCATAACAGACGTCAACTCCTTGTTCTTATTTTAGGCAAGGCAAGTTTATTTATGTCGCACATTTCAACAACAAGGCAATTCAAAGTTCTTCACACAAGACATCAAAAAGCAGGAAAGAAAAGAAACATTAAAATAGAAAATAAAAAAATCGCTGAAATGATTAAATCTGAAAATATGTTCAAATAAAAATAATTCAAATAAAATTAATTGAAATATATAAAGTAAAAATAGAGTTAAAAGTTACAGTGCAGAGTTAAAGTTTAAAATCTATTACAATTGTTTAATGAAAGACTGTAAACAGGTGTGTAATTTAAAGGTTTTTTTTTTAAGATTTATTTTTGGGCTTTTGGCCTTTAATGGAGAGATAGGACAGTGGATAGAGGTGGAAATCAGGGAAAGAGAGAGAGGGGATTGACATGCGGGAAAGGAGCCACAGGCTGGATTTGAACCCGAGCCGCCCACGTTGAGGATTACAGCCTCCATACATGGGATGCGCGCACTAACCACTGCGCCCCATTTAAAGGTTTTTTTTAATGTAAATGTGTTACCCTTAACAAAGAATAGATCTTATTTATGGCCAAAACCTAAGACCATGGATAATTTAAATGTGACATCCAGGATATTTAGGTATCACATATAATTAGATGAATTTTGAATTTATCATGTAATACCTCCTGGGGTTACTTTGCAGAGTGGGCGTTTGTTGGATCCGTCGCCCTTGGCAGCGTCTTGTTCCTGCTCCTGTTGGGAATCTGCTGGTGTCAGTGTTGTCCTCACTCCTGCTGCTGCTACGTCCGCTGCTGCTGCTGCCCTGAGACCTGCTGCTGTCCACGACACTGTGAGAAACATAACACATCCATATGAAGAAAAAAAAAAGTGTATTTACTCTTTAAGTTCCACAGGGTTTTCTAAGTCTTAAGAAGTCTCACTCCTTTCTGATGTTCCTCTGCACAGTATATGAGGCGGGGAAGATGGCGAAGAGGGGACCCCCTCCTCAGGTTCCTGTGTATCCGTACTACATTCCTGGTGTTCCCTCGGTGGTTCCTCTTGCACCCCCGTCCCACGTGGAGCCAAAAACAATCTCCTCTATCCCCTCTGTGGAGAATAACCTGTCTGGAGGTGAGAGAGACTGACATACTCTCAGTTATCTCATACAGTGTTGAAACACTGAGTGGCAAGTGAGAAAGAAGAAAAAAACATACAAAAAAAAGGTTAAAAAAAAATCATCCAGTGTTTTCATTGTAACACTTACACATGGTATCAATCAATCAATCAATCAATCAAACTTTATTTATATAGCACCTTTCAGACAAATTAAATTGCAGTTCAAAGTGCTTTACAAGACTGCAGAAAAGTTATTGATGAAAAAGTAGTTTATAAAATCATTGAGAGACTAATGCACACCAATTAAAAGAAAATATATATAAAAATGATAAAATAAAATATGACACATAAAATGAATAAGATATTAAAATTAATACAAAGGAGAAGAATATTTAAAATTGTAGTAGGATAAAAAAAGACAATACAATAACATTAAGATTTGAATTTATATGAAGCACTATATAATCTGCTGGTAACTCCGGCCTACTGTGTGCTGAAGCCAATCCCATTTGTACTAAATGGGACTAAAAGCAATACTCAACAGGAAGAAAGCAATGCCTTTGTGCCATTTTCAGTGTTTGTGCAGCAATATTGATTTCTGCATTATTAAGTGGCTTAAAGTGCAATTATACCCTCCTTTCAAAATAAGACTGAAGTCATCTGCCTTAATGTTTTTTTCAACTGGTTTTTAACCCTTTCATTTGCCAAAGTTTGTATTACAACAGTTTAAAAATGATCCTGACATTTTTTGAGGGTTAGATCAAATCTAAGGCAGCGTTTTTTTCTCTGTCTGTGTCTCAGCTGAAGATTTTCTATATGTTGTTTTTAATGAAAGAATAATTGTTGTGTACACTGTTGATGTATATAATTTAAAAGGAGACTGTGTCATGTTCAAACATTTAAACACACACACACACTACTACTGAAAACATCCTGAAAATGTTCAGGTTGAGCTGCATGTGTGAACACAAACAAACACTTTTTTTCTCATAGTAAGAAAAATATCAGTTCATTTAATTTTTCTAACTTGGCAAAAAAAAATCTGCCCTTTTTTTTGTTTTAAACACAAGAGAGAAAACTATTTTAGTCAGACTCATATGTCAGAGCTCCTGGATATCGTCTCAGAAACACTGACTTGACTAATCCTCATTTCATTTATCATCCCTCATGCTCACACCCAAATGTCTGCAACATGCATGTTGATTATCTCTGATACTAATCATAACACTTATTGGGGTTTAGTTTTTAGTTTTTGTTTTGTAAGTACTCTCCGTGTATATGTGTTTGTCCTCGCATGGTCATGTCCCTGTGTGTGTATGTGTGTGTGTGTGTGTGTGTGTCCACATCCACAGTGCGCAGTGGTTATCGACTGAAAGCCTGTCCCAACCAGGACTCAATGAAAGTTCTGTACTACATAGAGAAGGAGCTGGCTCAGCTTCCCTCTGCCAAGACGGCTGCACTCCAACGTAAGCCTGCACAGATTAGAACGCGTTCTGTGATCTGTGTGGCTGTGCGTCAGTGTGTGTGTGTCTCAAGTGTGTGTCTTGAATGTGCATGGTTTGTGTTAATGAACTAATTTAAGTTTCCATCTAACCCCATCATTTATTTAATACCATTAACTGTCTCCCAAGAGAAAATACATTTTGCATACAAGTTCTCAGGACAATCATTTGATTTGATTGGTGATTGAATTATCAGCCTTTAGTTATTTTGACTCAGCTGTAATCAGTGTTTAAAAGGGTCATATTCTGCTTTTTCTGGTTTTATCTGCTCTTTAGTGTGTTTTACAAGTGTCCTGTGCATGTTTAGACACATCTATGTGCAAAAATTCAAAGTCCGTGGAAACGCAGCTTCTCCTACGTCCTCCTGTTAGCTGTAGCATTAGCCGCATGTAACGCTCGGTTCTAGCCCCCCTCAAAAAAATGATGCCAGTGTGATGTCTTGTCAGTGTGAGATCACTGATCTAAGCCCATTGGCTCGTTGTGGTAAGCCCTGCAGCTCATGTTGCACGCCCCTTAACTTCTGTAGCACGCCCACGATATGGCGTAGCCTGCGGTAGCACAGTAGTGCTAACGTGCTAATGTTTTTGCTCCCCTCGGAGCCAAAGTGGCTGCATTCCCAATATGGTAAAAGGGGCGTGACATTTCCGAGAACCGTGCTGAGCCACTGACCAATTACGGCAGAGCCGACAGGCCGACCAATCAGATCAGACTTGGCACACGTGGGGACTCTGAACGTGGGCACTTCAGAGCCTTAGAGAGAGAGTCAGAAGAGAGCCGGTGCATGGAGCGGCAGTTCATGAAAACAGACACTTTTTTAGAACTTTAGTTATTGTGAACATACTTTAAGGGCATAATTTGGGCTCTTGAAGATTATACAGAACCTAGAACCAGAAAGAAGCTGATGTAGTGATTACCATGCTCTGATCCCAAACACCTACACAGTGCGCAAAACTTGCCAAGAAATTAACTCCAAATATATGTCCAACGAGGGAAAATATCACATTTATTTTCTACTGATGTGTCCGTCCAAACAGCCAGGAGCCTATCAGAACTGAGCTCTCTTCATGACGGAGGGACGACAGATTTCAGACACACCTATCAGACCGTCCAGATGAAGGCGCTCCCGCCCATTGCAGATCTTGAAAACCACACTGTGATGAGAGCGGCTCCGCCAACACAGAGTCGAAGGGCCAGACGGGACAGACGCAACCTCTCAGACGACGAGTTGGACAGAAGGTAGAATCATGTTGTTATGCGATGCATGTGTGTGTGTGTGGTTAGTTGGCTCTGTTGAAACATGTAGTGTTTGGAGGATTGTTATAATTTATATTTATGAGTTTATTGACTCAATTTCAAGACCCATTCAGTGCTATGACAAAAGGGGATGTCATTTTTTTCAGGACATTTACGATCTTTGATCTTTTTAATAATTTAATAGAGTGTTGCAATAATTTAAACAAGAAAGTTTGGGACGGACTAATCTTGAAAATCCTCTACCCACTTGGGCCATGATATATAAATTTACAGGTATTTAAAATATAAAACTACAATGTAGACAAGCCTGACAGGGAGGCAGAGGTGTTACTGTGCAATACAGTGTACAGAGTTTTCAGAGTCCTATCTGCAGTTTGTTTACATCGCCGGGACGGCCGGCTGACTCCTCCCCTCGTGTATAAAAGTTGTTTAATTGAGGGACTAGAGAAAAGAAGAATAACATACTGTACTCACTGCTTAACTGTGTTTCTAGATCACGCTCATTTCAGGTCAATTTACATGCAGTGTGAAGATACCAGCATAATAAAGATCGCTAGCATTAGCATGCTAACACAACAATGCAGCGCAAGTTGTTTTGGTTTCATGCTGGTGCTCAAGGGCGACATCTACTGGATCAAAAAATCACATACAAAGCCTTTAAATGTTATTCCAAGAAGTAACCAAAAGCCGATCTTTAAAAGCAGCTCTGTAAATAAAATGTGTTTTTGTTCATTTCTTTAACTACATGTCACTGTGTTCTTCCTTGTTGTAGGTGGAACTGTAGCTCGGAGCACCTGCAGAGGAAGACGTTGAGCAGAAGGGGGCGCACGGGCTCCCTGGACGAGCTGGAGGAATTCGCCCAGTCTTTTGACTCGCGCAGCCGTCGGGCTGATCCTCCAGAACGACCGTACGAGCGGGATTACAGCCCCCCCAGGCGCTGCTACAGAGACGAAGACGACGGGTGGCGTCGTCGCAGCCCTTCACCTCTACCACAGAAAAGAAGGGACACGTGGGACAGCGATCGACCCTCTCGACCTCCCCAGAGCAAAGGATACGACAACGCCTTCCTCAGCAATGTGCTGGAGAGCAAGGCGAGGGGACGAGGAGGGGACAGACACGGTGCTAGACCGGACGAGGACAGTGACACTCCCTCCAAAGGAAGCTCCAGAGGCAAAGGCAGCGACAGCTACTACAGCCGCTCGCCCAGCAACCGTCCCGAGGAGGAGGACGGTTTACCTCCGTACTCTGAGTGGGAGGCCGAGCGGTACCGCAGGGCCGACCAGAGAACAGACGGGTACCGCACAGTAGAGCCTCCTCCATCAGAGCGATACAGGACCACTGAGCCCGCCATGAGGCCTTTCTCGTACACTCGCCCCAACCAGGGAATGTCCCAAACTCTACAGGGGGCGAGAGAGGAGAGAGAGAGGAGCCGAAACCTGGTGAGTTACTTGTAGCAGGAAAAGGGCCTTCCTTCCTCTGCAGCTCTTCAGGAAGGAGCCTCTTTAATCCTCTGAATAGTGACAGGATGACTCCTTCCTTATTCAGTATTTTGCTTATTGTCAACAGATAACATGAAAAGTCCAAAACGAGCAAAATTTTAAGCGATATCTGTGAAGCCTAATCCTGGTGAAGCTGATTCCTCTGTGCCGCAGAATTTAATTATTGTCCAAAAGAAAACTATAACTCCATTCAGACTGACTTTTGCACGCTTCACACATCAATACAGGAAGATATTTATCTGACCAATACACACTATATGTCATAACAAAGTTACAGGGTGACAAGGAGAGAAGATAGAAAGCATAAAGAGAAGGAAGCACGAAAAGATGAAAGTTGTAAAGGACTCTCAGAGGATAGAGCAGTACCACTTACCGCTTTGCTCAAAAGGCTGTGTCTGCAGCATGCTATCAATCACTTGGGCACTTGTACATACCCCTTGCAGTGATTGTTAGCATTAAAATAAACTTAATAAAACTGGTGCTGATGGTCTTGTTTGCTTTTGTAGCTCATTAAGCATTGATGATAATGTGAGTCTGTTTTAATACCAGCTAAAAACTAATCAAAGGAGCTTTAAAGCTTTTTCACACTTAAATATAATATAAATCAAGTATCTCCTCTGAAAATAACTCTCTGAGTCATGACTGTCTACAATGGGTGTAACACCCGAGTCCCACTGTCTGTGATGTTTTCAGAGTTTTCAGAGTCCTATCTTCACTTTGTTTACATCGCCCGGACGGCCGGCTGACTCCTCCCCTCGTGTATAAAAGTTGTTTAATTGAGGGACTAGAGAAAAGAAGAATAACATACTGTACTCACTGCTTAACTGTGTTTCTAGATCACGCTCATTTCAGGTAAATTTACATGCAGTGTGAAGATACCAGCATAATAAAGATCGCTAGCATTAGCATGCTAACACAACAATGCAGCGTGAGTTGTTTTGGTTTCATGCTGGAGCTCAAGGGCGACATCTGCTGGATCAAATAATCGCATATAAAACCTTTAAGAGGCATTGATAATAAAAAAATTGAGTCTGCTTTAATACCAGCTAAAAACTCTTCAAAGAGCTTTAAAGCTAATTGCACAAAACGATCATCATATAAACATTTTAGCATTAATACTTATATATAACGTTTTTTCTTTTGCTGAATGCAGACCGTTCACAAAAGCTCAGTGGTTCTGGTACTGCTCCTCAGCTGGGAGCTGGTGCTATTTGCACTAGCCCACTAAAAGTTTGTTAATCCACAGCTGAAAATAGTCCCACAACAATGACTTCATTTAGTCCTGTTTGAAGTTTGCTAAAAAAAAAGATACCCCACCCCCAGTTCCCAGCTGTTTGAGGTTAAAAAGTGCACAACTTAGACCTTTGGTATGTGACACTCCTTCACCTCTACTGTAACTATCAAACACAGGCCAGTACCTGAAAAATAATCAGAAACACAACTACAAACAAAGATTTATTTTGTGCCTTTATTGTAAAGATAGGACAGTGGATAAAGTCTGAAATCAGAGAGAGAGAGAGAGAGAGAGTGGGGAATGACATGCAGGAAAGGAGCCACAGGTCGGATTCAAACCCGAGCTGCACACCCGCTCTAACCACTCTGTTACCAGTGCCCTTGTGACACATTTTTAGTGTTTTACATCTAAAGCAGGAGCAAACAGGAAGTTTAGGAAGTCAAATAGTACCAAAAGATGTTTTCAGTTTCGGCCTTTTCATGTGATTTATTGACAGGAATAATAATATACAGTGAAGAGTAACACCAGTTTGTTGCTTCCATATCTGAAAATGATTACCAGTATTATGTATGTTACATGATTGTTTCTGGTGCAATGTAAATAAAACAAATGTGGTCTTAACACTGGATCATTATGATTTGATCTACTATAGGTAGCTGTAAATGTTTACATAAATTCTTTTTTTATGAGCTGTATAATCTTTCAATATGCTTGTAACCATAGTGTAACAAATGCTAACTCACGTGCCTTACTAATATTCTTCTCTCTCTGGAATCAGTATCACAGTCATGAAAACTAACAAGCCTTGAGGTGCAGAAACTACCAGGCTGGACTCACCTAGCATGAGTATGAATACAAAGTCTCTAACGTGTGGCTTCTCGGTGTATTTTCTTTAACAGAGCACTGCACTGAGCAGGGACACTATCATAGTGTGACGAGGTTTCCCAGCCTCCACCCGCTCAGCACTGCCCAATCTGCTCATGTAAACCGTCCTGTTGCTACGCAGGAGAGGCTAACTGTTCTGCCACCAGCCATACGAAGTCTGAAACACCTCACTGAAATATCAGCTGCTAAAATGCTAAAAAATAATTGTGCATGAAGCTGCATGTAGATTTTTGTGTTGCTCATTTGCATGAATTATATCTGGGCGTTTATGCATGTGTAGTCATGTGGATGTTGTGTATGTTGAGTGTGCAGCATGGCTACACTTAAAAACCTGTGCCAAGATGTTTCTTTCATTATTTTATTGCCAATTCCACGGTGGTCTTTTGTCACATCTAATGGGACACACTACAGTCTTATTTTCACAAGCAACTCAGGTTCACTTTGTATTCTTTTTGTCTTTGTTTTTGATACTGTTTCTGTATACCTGTACTGTACCTTGGATTTGTTTTAATTGCACTGCTCAAATACTTTTGGAATAATAAAAAACTCTAAGAAGTCCTCACTGTCTGACAGGATTTTTGGAGAAGTTGCATCTCAAAATTAAGATATTGATAAAGGCCAGTATTTGCTTAAATCAATAAATTCATGTTTTTTTTAAATTACTTTATTGCAGGCTGTCTGACTACATTACAAGTTGTCATATTTCATCACAAATTTTGTTCATCCTTGCACATTTTTATATATATATATTTTTTTAAACATACAAGAATACATACAACATGAAATAAAATAAAAATAAATAAATATCTAAAGAAAAGGTACGAAGAGAAAAATACATTCATCTTTTGATTGGTACGTTTCTTTTATTTATTTATTTTTATTAGCACACATAAGAATACATCAAAATAGGATTAACAAAAACTTAAAAGGTGTGTCAGGAGAGGTCAAGAAGCCAACAGGTTTATAAAGGGACCTCACCTCTTAAGAGACAAATAAATCAACTGAGCAAATCGAATTACACAGTTTCAAAACAAAATTTTAACACATGTACAGTAACCTATACGCGTATTCATACACACACACTTAGACACACACATACAATATAAAATGTGAGAGAATAGTGAGGTTGAACTAGAAACTATACCTGAAGCCAGATAGTGTATGAAATATCAAACAGCTTAAACCCAAAGGTGTTTAGTCTTTTACAAAATACGAGAAAAGAAAGTCCTCCTTTAGAGTCTCAAAAAGACAAACAGGCCATTTAGATGGTTTACAACACATATTTTAAGCTTTGATACTTTGTAGGCTTCACATTGGATACTTACAGTACAGGATATAAACCTACTGCGTGTCCTCTCTATTACTGTAAATAAGGGAAGTAAAAACTGCCATGTTTTGAGGTTTGAAGTGGAAGCAGAGACACAGAAGTGACAGCCAGGCTCTTTTTCCACGCTGCATTTTTCACACGATCTCGAGAGCACTTCAGTGAGGTGAGAGCAGCACTTCAGTTGAGCTCAGGCGGGATTGTTTTGTGTCAACAGTAAAGCTCGCTGGGGTTCAATGTCCAGGATAAGAGATGTAAACACCCTCTCAACAAAGAGCCCTATAACACACACACACTGCTATGACTCATTATGAGAGTGAACTTTACTCTCAGCCTGTTTGCCAGAAATGAGTAAATTAAAAACAGTCCTCCCAGAAGCGCTGACCCACTTCTTCTTCATTTTTCTCATTAAGATTATGCGTAGCTTCTTTAAATTATTTTTTTTACACAGTATGTTAAGATGTAACATTTGCATTAAGAATGTATTCTGCTCTCTTGTTAATGTCATTTAAAGAGACTCATGAGGCAGAGCACACAAAGAAAAAACAGCAGCAAGAAAAACATAAAAACAGTGAAAAGGCTCTGAAGTAGTTTTAATTAATTAATTACTTTTTTTAAAACTAAATTCAACATGTTTTTTTTAATTAAAATTAAATAAAAGTCATCGGTTATATTTTAGTCACAGTCTCAGATTTTTAACCCCAAAAAAAGATTTATCTCCCACTTCAGAAGAAGAGAGGAAATTCATATGAAAGGAGAATTTAAGCTCCGCTGTCAGAAGTGGAAAGTTTCTCACTAAACCTCACTTTACTCGTTACTTAATGATTTCATTGAAGATACTTTATTAGTTCCACTTCAGAAAATCTCAGACTACAACACATTTATCTTACATCTACAGCTAGCTACTTGCTACACTTCAGATAAACATTTTACACTTAAAGTCACCCATATTTGTAAAAAATTAAAAATAAAAAACCAACATAATTGCTCATATTGTGTGTTTGGACAACCTGCTTCTGTAACGCCACAATTTCCCAGTTTGGGATCAATAAAGTAATTCTATTCTATTCTATTCTATAATGTTATAGATTATAAATCAGTGGTTTGTGGCACTGTAGTATTTCATTACAGCTGTTGATATTTGTAAATTTCAGCTGTTTTTAGTTGTGAAAATGACCTCTGAATACTGAATACTTACTCCTCAAACAATAAGACAACAGTTTAAACTCAGATTAAAAAAGAGGGAGAGGTGATATGTCCAAACCATAAACACAGATTTGATTATCAGATGTAGCTCCGCCCACAGAAGCTGCTGAGGCAGCAACAGGCCTCTAGTGTCAAATATGGATAAATAGGTCAGTAACAGGACAGAAGGTGTATCCTACTTTACTTTGAAACTCATCCCACATTTAACTAATAACACTTCTGTACCTTCACTACTTTATAATACTTACTTTACATCCAGTATTGTAGCAAATAAAGGAGAGGGAAATGTTTCAACTGTTCGCCATCTTTTCCCCCTCATGTTGCACCTGCACAAAGTGGGCGGAGTCATGATGTCACCTGAAGCATTGTGTGGGGGAGGGGATGTTGTCCGCTGTGCCTCCTCCTGTGCGGCTCGTATTTCACATGAGGAAACAAATGTCGTCTTGAGTGAAAATCAGGTTAATATGCAGAACAGCGACATTGTTCCGTTTTTCTCAAAGTATTCCGGACTATTTGTGGATTTTGAATCTCCTACAGGATAGAGACTGAAGACTCCGCGGAAGGATTCAGAGCAGCGCGATGGGAACTATGATCCTGATGGTGCTTCTGGTGCTTCACCTGCCGACAGGTGAGGCTCATAAGAACACAGTGTTTATATATAAGATCATATTTCAGAAAGTAATGATGTGTTTTTGTCCGGTTAAAGAAAGGGATTCAGAGTGAAAACGAAGGCAAACAGTCGAAACTATCTGTAGAGTGTACTAGTTAATTATCAACAGGTGTGACCAGGACGAGGCCGACTACTGTGACGTCACAGCACCTTTAATAAGCGCGTTTTCAAAGATAGATAGAATCTTCATTATCATTAATGTATACAAGGACACAACTAAACTTTGTGAGCAGCAATCCTAAACAGCAGTGTTTATAAAAACAACAACAACAACAAAAACAGAAATATATTTGTGGTGATATGAAAGAGAAATATGCAAAAAGTGGCCAGAGAAATTACTGTTCAGTAAATTAATGATAATAATAATAAAGAAATAGACAGTTGTGGTGACTGAAAGAATATATACAGTTATTGTTTTGCAGTGACTGATTAGGTAAACAGACACTCAGATTAACAGTTAAAGGAGAAAATGTTAAATGGGATAAAAAGTAAATAAAAGGAGGGCTACAAATTTAGATGATTTCTAACTCAGGCCTACTGTATTTTTATTTCTGTAAGATTTTAACCTGAGTTCCAGCTAATACAATAAATTAAAGAGGAGTTCGATATAACATTTAGGTGGCTGGACCTTTATTTAGTTTTTTAAGGCAATAGTGGAAAAGTATTAAGGCTTGATCTAATTAGCTAAATGTTGTTGAATATATTAAATGGAAAAAAGTGAATATTCATAGTTTTCGAAACTTGTACCAGCAAATTCTTGAATTTTCACATCAATAATTGGATTATAAAGAGTATATATTTGCCAATTAATTTCATTTCAATTTCGATTTATCGGCCCTAAAGAACATCCACTTCAAACACTAATGTGAATATTTATTTAAAAACTTTAAATAGGCTATTAAAGTTGTTTTCATTATTAGTTATTCTCAATATAATGTTGTTTTTAAAAAAAAAAAATTGACGGAAAAAGCTGAACGTAGTAGCAGAGTTCATTAAATGTCTTGTTGTGTGTACTAAAACTTGGGCTGCAGTAATGAGTCTTTTTCCAGTATTTGATTAATCTCACGATTATATAAACAATTAACTTGTGTGTGGGTGTGTGTTTTAAATTTGACCTCAAGTTAACTCGATGAGCAGTGATTGCCTGTCATTATCTTCTAAACTGTTGTTCATGATGGAAACCTCTGTTAAACACAGTGGTAGAGTAAATGCACGCTGTAAGGAGTAAACTGTTAACCTGTCTGGTCAGATTCTTGTCAATCCAGAATTTTAAAAGTGAAGCCATGACACAAATACACGAGTGTTGTTGTTTTTTGGCTCAGGTTCATATATTTGAATGTGTGTCATGAGTGCAGGTGTTTTGTATTTTATCTCCGTCTCATCTGATTGTTGTTCCTGTTTGTGTCAGAGCTGCTGTCCATACAGGTGAACGTTCCAGAGACGGAGAGGAGCACGATGCTGTTCGCCTCGGTCATCCTCCGCTGCGATTATTCAACCTCAGCAAACACTCAGGATGTCCTGGTCACCTGGAGGTTCAAGTCTTTCTGTAAAGACCCGGTGCTGGAGTACTACTCCACAGGTGAGACTGCAGGTGGAGGGAAGGGGACTATGAGCAAACAATGTGATCAGAGAAATAGTGATCAATATGCAAAGGGAATCTCTCTAACCCTGACCTCCATCTGGGACATTTAGGTAGATATTATCTGGAAGGCTTTATATGTGATTTTTTGATCCAGCAGATGTCGCCCTTGAGCACCAGCATGAAACCAAAACAACTCGCGCTGCATTGTTGTGTTAGCATGCTAATGCTAGCAATCTTTATTATGCTGGTATCTTCACACTGCATGTAAATTTACCTGAAATGAGCGTGATCTAGAAACACAGTTAAGCAGTGAGTACAGTATGTTATTCTTCTTTTCTCTAGTCCCTCAATTAAACAACTTTTATACACGAGGGGAGGAGTCAGCCGGCCGTCACGGCGATGTAAACAAAGTGAAGATAGGACTCTGAAAACTCTGAAAACATCACAGACAGTGGGACTCGGGTGTTACACCCATTGTAGACAGTCATGACTCACAGAGTTATTTTCAGAGGAGATACTTGATTTCTACATTTAAGTGTGAAACATCACATATAAAGACTTTAACAATGTAGTGTTGAATTTGCGTATTGATCCTTTTGTTTGATCACTTCTTGAGACTTGAACTGTCATACACCATTACTTTAAAACATCCAATACATTATTTAAAAAAATGTTTCGAAATAAAGCAACTCACTGGGTCTTAAACCAGTCAGTGTTTAGTCAGCTCACAACCCTCATCAGGTTTCATGATTCAACAATCTGTTTAAATAAAGGGTGTGACTTATGTTTACAATAGATTCTATTATGTTATGTCCAAAGAAAGAGAAACGTCCAGGGACAGCTACTTGATAATAATTGGTTCCAGCAATAAAAAGGTTGATTGATTTGTAAAAGATGGTGAATCTGTAGGAAGGATTTTGCCGACTTTATTTTTCTTAATAATGTATAACACATAATTTCCTGTTTTCCCCCAAACAGAAAAGGAAAATACAACGTATCTAGAACACTGTAATGTTCATAGTGTAGATATTTTATTCTTTTGAAAACAGGCTCTCAGCTTAAAAATAAGAATGATTTTACCTCCTCCAAAGGTTAACTCATTTATTAAAAAAGGTTTTCTAAAATCCCACATTTAAACACAAACAGGACAAGAAAACAACATTAAAATAATAATAATAACAAATAATTTAGTTTTGTTGATAGATAAAAGTAATTTTAAATAACAATCTGATATATGTATGTATTTGAATTAAAAACTGGTTGTTGTTGTTGTTGTTGTTGAAAGGAATTATTGGTTTAAACAAGAAGAAATAGAATATGAAGTGTGTTGAGCTTTGATCGTCTCAACTTCCTGTTTCTGCAGCCTATCAGGCCGCTCTGCAGCTCGGTCAGGACCCGGCCAACGACTGCGGGGACAGTCAGCGCACGGTCCGCACGGTGATCCAGAAGAGAGGCATCAACGAGCCCATACTGGGAGCAGACTACAGAGAACGCAGAATTACCATCCAAAACAGTACGTCTGGTCCAGTTTTCATGAAAGAGAACACATCTCAGTCTGAGCTGTCAGCACGGATATACTTCACTGATATGAGACATCACACAGGCTGCACTGTATTTGAGTTTTTTCAATGTCTTTACCAATCAATGTGTTACTTGGTGTTACTGATTCCAGTAGCATAATAGGAGAAGCTTTATTGCTTTAAGTAAAACACAAGTAAACAAAGAGAGAACATAAAGAAAGAAACAAAGCATTCAAATACCTGCAAAGAATTTGTCATGGACTTTATTTCTGAGTGTTATTTGTATATCAAGTCCAAACATTTTCTTATAGATATATGTTATTTTTAACTATTTTCACATTATCTGCCAACAGAGGCCGACCTGGTCATCACTGAGGTGATGTGGTGGGATAACGGCGTCTATTTCTGCTCCATTGATGCTGCCGGGGACACGACTGGAGACTCAGATAGAGAAATCAAACTCATCGTATATCGTAAGTTTCCTCAGCTGAGGATTTAGTACTCAAAAAGCCTTCTGTTTTTTTTTGTTTTTTTTTATGACTTTCAATTTTTATTTTACACAAAAAAAAAAATCAGCGGTAACATTTAGTATACATCTGTTTGTTACAAATACCCTCTACCCCACCCCCACCCACACACAAAACTGTAACACAGAGGCGTCAGTGGGTCCTTTCTTCTGCAGTGGCTTAGCATATAAACAAACATAACAATAAAAAATAGAAAACCAATGCTAATTTTGAGCCTTCTGTTTTTTTTTAATGAAATCTTAATAATTCTGTGTCTCCTGACTTGTTTCCAGACTGGCTGACCGTCCTGTTGATCATCCTCGGAGCTCTACTGCTCATCATGCTCTTCTGTATTTGTTGCTGTCAGTGCTGCCCGCAGAAGTGCTGCTGCTACATCCGCTGCCCGTGTTGTCCACAGACCTGCTGCTGCCCCGAAAAAGGTAGAAGAAATTATTTCAGTTCATGCCGTTTTCTAACCATGAACGTATAAAACTACACTCAGGAAAATCATTTTGATTTAATCATTAGTTGTTTTTTTACTTAACCTTAACTTGTCACTTCAGACAACCTAAGTCATGTTGGAGCAGCTGTAAAAATCTGTTTTTGACAAGGAAGATATTTACATGTATCACACAGTACAGTATGAATAAATCAGTCATGGCTGAATTCTGTTGATCCGCCTCAATTACAAGGTCACACTGTCATGATTGACTGGAAAAAACAGAAGAGAGCCTTTCTTAACGTTCTTTGATTCACTACTCTAAACATGTTAAAATATAATAATAATAATAATAACTTTATTTCTATAGCACCTTTTAAAAACACAGGTTTACAAAGTGCTTTGACAAACAGCAAAAACAAGAAACAAATAAACCAAACACAGAAGAACATAAACAACAACAAGAACATAACAAATACTAAATACTCAAAATAATTAAATACAATTCAACAGAAAAGAACCCAAAGTGCACGATACCCAACAGACATATAGAACCAGACCATCATAAGAACCATCATAAGAACCATCACAAGAACCATTATAAGAACCATCATAAGAACCATCACAAGAACCATTATAAGAACCATCATAAGAACAATCAAAAGAACCAACACAAGAACCATTATAAGAACCATCACAAGAACCATTATAAGAACCATCATAAGAACAATCACAAGAACCAACACAAGAACCATCATAAGAACCATTATAAGAACCATCATAAGAACAATCATAAGAACCATCATAAGAACCATCATAAGAACCATCACAAGAACCATCATAAGAACCATTATAAGAACCATTATAAGAACAATCATAAGAACCATCATAAGAACCATTATAAGAACCATCACAAGAACCATCACAAGAACCATCACAAGAACCATCACAAGAACCATCACAAGAACCATCACAAGAACCATCATAAGAACCATTATAAGAACCATCACAAGAACCATCATAAGAACCATCACAAGAACCATTATAAGAACCATCATAAGAACAATCACAAGAACCAACACAAGAACCATCACAAGAACCATCATAAGAACCATTATAAGAACCATTATAAGAACAATCATAAGAACCATCACAAGAACCATCATAAGAACCATCATAAGAACCATTATAAGAACCATCACAAGAACCAACACAAGAACCATCACAAGAACCATCACAAGAACCATCACAAGAACCATCATAAGAACCATCATAAGAACCATTATAAGAACCATTATAAAAACCATCATAAGAACCATCATAATAACCATCACAAGAACCATCATAAGAACCCAACAACACGAGCTGAGACCAAGAGGAACCAAAGATTTAAAAAGATGTAAGAAACTAAAAGAGCTAAAAGTAAATAAAAAGAGAACAGCAATAAGAAGGAAAGAGCAGGAAAAGAAATAGAAACAAGTGATTTAAAAAATGCCAGTTAAGGATTGATACGGATTATAAGGTGCAGAGAATCCTTGACATGATAGTTTTGGTTACAGATCTGTACTTGTGTTAAGTCTAAATATTAAAAAAATCACTAAACCAGATTCACAAAACTGTTGTTGACCTCCTTTTTTTTTTTGCCTTGGTGTCAGCTGTGATGCAGCACAGGATGATTAAGGAAGCTCAGAAGGCGATGGCTCCCTGGATGAACGGCCAACCCATCTATGCTCCGATCAGCTCCAACGCCTCCTCTCAGGGCGTCCCCATACTGTATTCAGGTAGGAGACACAATGAGGCCTCTCTTGGATGCTTTGTTGATGATCAGTCTGGCTCAGAACCGAGGCCGTATGTTTGATTGTGGTTCTAACAGGACAGAGACAGCACTCTCACAAGTGAAGGAAAAAATTCCTGAAACTTTGTGGAAACTACATTTTATATCTTTAACATTTACAGAAAGTAAATAACTTGATTTGTTTTTTGGTCTTTAACTCCAAATCAAATTGTAAACGTAATTCAGTAACGAGTTGTACATTTCAAAAGTCCGTTTTGAAGTGATGCAATTGAATAATTGATCACAAGACTTCTTGAATGTGGAAGGATGTGTTCATAGTCTTGAAAAAACATAGTATAGCAGACAGAGTGCAAGTCCCGGCTTCCCCTTTAAGCATTTTAGAATCCTTTAACATGTTTTATTTGCTGCCTTACTCTCATGGTTTGGGATAATCAATAAGTGTGCTCACTTTATTTTTAACCTCCAGCAGGCAACATGTTTTCATTTCATCCACAGAGAACAGAAGTTTTAAAAACTTAACCTGCACAACACTTAACAGCAAGCGGCTAATGATCATTTAGCAACAGAGCAAGATATTTCTGCCTGTGGGGCAACAAAACATCACGTCTTCTGAGAGATCTCTCATTGAACTTAAATATATCAGGTTGACACAAGCACAACATGCAATGTTTATTTTATTTTTTTGTTTGTATGAATGTTTAATAGTATTCATTTGAGTTTGTATTTAAATTTTTAATTTTTTTAAATAATATAATAATAAATAAATTAAATAAATTCTGTGTTTATAAGGTTTCTTTGTATCTTGATGTGTCAATTTAAATATTTTGCCAAGAAGTTCTTCAAATCGGCTTTAAAAAAATAGAAATGTATTAATAAATTTGTTTCTGCTGCCCCCTAGTGTTCAAAAAGTGTTATTTGCACTCTACTGCCTTCAAATTGCCTTATCTTTTGTATATTTGTATATGTTATTATTATTATTATTATTATTTTATTGTTGGCATTCATTGTGGACAGCAAAGAAAGAATTTCATTGTACAGGGAAACACGTTTGAGTCTTTGAATGTCTCTTTTTAAACAACAAACTCTAAACTTCTCCTCCAGGTTCATACTCGGACCACCCGGTCAAACAAAACTTTGCCATGGCTCCCATGCAGCTGTCCCCGATGGCCCTCCAGCAGCAGCCCCCTCCTCTTCCACCTCACCATGTGAATGGCAGCATGCGGAGCAGCATCCAGGGAACCAACCAGGTGCTGGACTACCTGGAGACCCAGGTGAGGGGGATGGACATGGTGGCACCTCAACAGGCTCATTACGCTGTACAAAACATGGCCCCATATCAGTCTCAACCCCAGCACCACCCGGCTCCTCCCGCCGTCCCCTACACACCAGGACCCCCCAGTATGCTGTCGGCCCTGGATGATATCGGGGTGAGAGGGGTAGAGAGACGGGTGATCACCCTGCCTCCTATCATACAGCGTGCACCCAGTTTCTCCTCGCGCAGGGGGCCCGGTGGAGGAGACGCAGCCAGAGGTGGAGCCAGGATCTCCAGCCAGTCGAGTACAAGTACAAACCGCTCTGGGGGAGGCGGTCTCCCACGCAGCAGTCGAGGCTACAGAGACGTCTCTCCTCCCAGACGCGGCATCCTGCGGGAATACAGCGACGACTCGGATCGGGATAACAGGAGAGGAAGAGCGCCACACAAGAGCTCGAGGAACGAGAGAGGCGGCTCCCCGAGGAAAAGAGGAGGCGGGTCCAGGCCGAGAGCTCGGAGTCGCGACGACCTGATGGAGGAGCTTTACAGCAGAGCGGCTCGGAGGGAGAGGAGCTATTCTCCTCCACAGCGCCGCAACGGATCCTGGAGCTCAGATGAGGAGGACAGCGGGAGGAGGAAAGGAGGCAAAGGAGGCAAAGGAAAGGATTGGCCAGAGAAGCCCCCCAGCTACTCGTCCATCGAGTCCGGGCAAAATGACATCAGGAGGAACTACAACCGTCTTTCTGTAAGATCAACACACAAAAACTGACGTGCAAAATTGCCATCTGTCTCCTTTTGGTATTAATAAAGTTTATTTATAAAGCACTTATCAAAACCAACGTCACAAAGTGCTTTACAGGAAAAAGAAAAATCCCAACAGTCAATTACACAACAATAAAATCCTATTAAAAAAGCATGAAAAATAAAACAACAGAGCAGCAATCATCCAATGAACAGAGAAAAGAGAAACAACTGAGACAAAGATTGGCTAAAGTTAACAGTAAAACAAATAAAACATCATGAAACAAGGATTATAAGAAGGCCTTATGATAAAAATGTGTTTTTAAAAGAAGATACTGATGTAGCTCGTCTGAGATCCTCAGGCAGGTCGTTCCACAGCCGACGAGCCCGAGATACAAATGCTTGATCTCCTTTAGTTTTCAAGTTTGAAAAGGAATTCTTCCTTCATGTTTGACTTAGATTTCTGTTCTAAGCTTTAGTGCTGCTAATAAAGAACTGTCCACTAAAAATCAAACTCAAAATATCTCAACAACTATTGGCTTTATTTCCATTACATGTCTTCAGACTCTGGTGTATTTAACCTTTTTATTTGTAAAGGGGACATGTGTAATGGATAACCCCTAACCCTAACCCATGTGCAATATTAAACAGAAATGTTGCCATTTGATGCATTGTACCAGAGTTAGCTTAGAGCTAGTTTACATCTGCAGTCCCTCGTGCTCACCCGTTCAAGTTTTTGGATGACGTTGTTGATCCCCTGACTTTTTAAGCAACAACAAGAGGTTTGCTGCTCTCTGGATTTCAGTAAAAAAAAAAGTGAAAAGTAACTCTAATTGGAATGGAATTTGCTTCAAACATCTCACTTAGGATTACGTCACCTTGAATTTGAATCTGAACCAGCGTCGAGACAAAGTTTTAATTTCACCATCACTCTGCTTAAAAACCAAATACCTGTCATGAGAGTCTATTCTGCCTCAGCAGCCATTTTTGTGTTTGGTGTTAATTGGCCAAAGTTAGCGCGCTTTAGCTTCTTAACATCTGCACTTTTTCACTGTTATTGTTAGCATGTTAGCACACAATGGAGAGATATTATTTTTTTATTGGTCAATTTATTGAACATGTTAAGAAAATAAAAACACAAAATACAAAGGAAAAAACAAAACAAACTAGATCCTCATGATCCATAGCAACAAATAAATAACTCAAATAATATAGTTCATGTTCAAAAAGGGATAGGAAGAAGTTAAAACCTTTTCTGGTCCTACCCCTTCTTAATTTTGTGCATTATTCACAGAAAAGTAAAACGTTTTCATCAATCAGTGTATGATGTTGGCCAAAACAAATTCAGTTTTTAGACAAAATAAGAGAACAGATTAACCAAGACCATCAGCCAAGAAACAACCAAATATAAAAACAGAAAGTCACTGCTCCAGCTCATATCTATTCAATAATTTATATAATATATTCTTAAGACATATGAGCACTGGTTGTGAAATATTGATCCTAAAATTGGATTGTGTTGAACTTCTGTATGTGTGATGTTCTTTGTTGTTATGTTCTGCTGCTTGTGTGTGATGATAAATCATATCTCCCTTTAACCTTGCCTCCTTCCCTTTCCTCTCTCTTAGGACAGAAGCTCCCGTAGTGGCACCAGCGTAGTTATCTGAAGCATTTCAAGGTGAGGATGAAGATAGATGAAGAGTAGAGCCTTGATCTGTTTAATCAGCATACAAGGATGAAGTTGTGTAAATCTGTTGTCATGTACTGTACTGATATACTTTAACTCAATATGCACTGTGTTTCCCATCTGTGGTTATTGAGTCCATTAACTCTGTCCTCACTGCATTCAGTGTTTGTTTGTAATGTAAGTTTTCTCTCTGGTGATGGATCATTTCCACTCTGTTGGTCTTTATGAAGAAAATGTTCAACAGTTTCAATGACAGTCAAATTGTGTGTTTATTATATTTGCTTATTAGCTTACTTTCCTATTTTGCATAAATCCTGTACTGTCTCAAGTTTTTTTTTTTTTTTAAGTCAGCCAGGAGAAGAAAGTAAAGTTGAAGGCAGGACAAAGTAAGCAGACTCGTGCTTTTTTTTTTTTTTCAGAAAAAAAAGATATAATTGTAATTTTCATAAATGTTTGCTTTTTTTAATGTGATGTTTTAAATAAACCTTTTCGATACATCTGTGGTGTTTGTCTCTGGATATTATACAAGATCTGTTTTAACCAGACAGCCATACTAAATACTAACTAAACATATATTTAAAAACTGTTTCTAAAGTAGGACTAGCGACCGGGCAAAATGCTTGCTTTTAGAGTTTTCTTTTTTCTTTTCTTTTTTTTTTTTATTAGGTGCAATAGCGTGACAAACTGGTGATATATACATAACAAATGAGGCACAAAAAAACAAACAGACAAGGTCAGGACAACAACTCCAAAATACAGTAAAAAAAGATGAATAATAATAAATAAAGACAGCAAAATACTAAGACATCAATAGACACACATCAGACTACAGCCAGCAGAACTACAAAACTATATGAAATACCTAAGAAAGGATACAAGAAGTGAAAGAAGCGATAGAGAGAAGGGGAAGGAGAGAAGGTGCTTTGTGAAGGGGACTTGAGAGGTAGAAGAGAGTTGAGGAGTTGAGCAGTGTGTCTGTGTTGAATATGTTAATGTTGAACAATGTTGTGGTGTGAGAGGTGAGAGGTTGTGTAATGATTCACTTGAATGATTGGCTGCAGCCGGGGTTTTCTTTTAGTTTTTACATTTAGCTGATAGTAAGCCATCTGAGGTCTCCAAAGAAGAAGAGAAGCTGGAGTAACACCCCTCAGATGTATGTACAAGCTTCTTGCCCAATATGGGTCTTTTGGATTAACCAGCTGGGATGCTGCCGCGATGATGTTGCATAATGTTGTACAAATATGCCATCCTCTTTTCTTACCTGTAGGTAATGTTCTCTAGAGGATCGGCGTGTCTCTCAACCGGAGAGTCGGGGGTTTGATCCCCAGCTCCTGCAGAAACATGTCCCATGTGTCCTTGAGTAAGACACTTAACCCCAAGTTGCTCCCCCTGCTTCGTTGACAGCGTATACATTTGTATAAATGGGATTGGTTACTTCTGATGGTCAGTTTACACAGCAAGCTCGGGTAGGTGTAACCTGCGCTGTTAAAGCGTTTTCAGTGTTCAGAAGATTAGAAAAACATGCTAAACAAGCTCAAGTCCATTTATTCATCTGTATCTAGGCTACTTAAAAGTAATGTAGGCCTACAATAACTATCTATCACAGGGGTCCCCAAACTACGGCCCCTCCCCACATTTGGCCCAGCCCTCAGAACAATTCAGAATGCATTTTAAAAATCAAAATTGTAATATATATTTTTTTTTGTCATAGGCCTATAAAAGTTTAACATTTAAAATGAAATGTTCTTTAGTTGTGAACTTTTATCATCATTAACTCTTTCAACACAGAACGTGACATCTGACCTGAAAACAAACGGTAAAAAGGTTAGGGAAGAGAACATTTGATTCAGAATTCAGGGTATTTAACCAACAGTGGACTAATGATTTTATTTTGTTGTTGGCTGTTTGTCTCAACTGAACCAATCTCCTGAGATAAAATCCATCTCCACAATAACACCGGTCGTCATGCCTGCACATGTTATTTTCTGTTACTTACAGACTCTGGGCCCCCCGTCAGGGAAGGCAAGGCGAGTTTATTTATGTCGCACATTTCAACAACAAGGCAATTCAAAGTGCTTCAAACAAGACTTCAAAAGCATCATGACAGAGGAAAGAAAAGAAACATTAAAATAGAACATTTAAAAATAATAATAATAAAAATAATGACAAATAAAAATAATAACAAATAAAAAAAATCACTGGAATTATTAAATCTGAACATATGCTCAAATAAAAATAATTCAAAATGAAGGAAGGAATGAGGCCCTCAAAGAAAAAGGTTTGGGGACCCCTGATCTATCAAGACAGTCACTTTCGTGTCCAACAGGGGGAAGCAAAGGACATTTGAATATGCTGAAGGCTGAAGAGCAGTGCTGCCACTTGAGACTTTAGTTTTTACTTTAGTTTACTTTACTAATTAAACACATGAATTTGTATTTGCAATCAAAATGTCAACTTATTTAGAATATAATTGTGTTGCATGTTGTGTGCACACATTGAAGCTGAAGGTGGAGCTTGTGTTTACTGAATCAGGGGAGGAGGGGGGGGCGGGGTTTGGCCCTCCTCTGCTCTCTGATTGGTTGCTCCTCTGTTTGGGGAGGCCGACTGACTTGGGGGGGGGAAAGTGAAACAGTCAATGTCAAAATATTCCTGGATCAGCTGTTAGTTGTCGATCCGCCCCATCATCCACAGAGAACAACAGTCATCGTGAACAGAAGTTGATGAAGATTTGAAGTCAAAGTTTCTGCAGCAGCTTCTCGTCGGTTCCAGGTGAGGCTAACATGTGAGCTACATGTGAGCTAGCTTTAGCAGCTGCGCAGACAATGATTTTCTTAAAAGCAGCTAACAGGAGCTAGCTGAGCTTCTGCAGGATGAAAGCAGATATTCACATGAGCATATCGGCTTTACTATTTAATTCCTTCTAAAATAGTATTTATTAATGTGTTTAAACTAAAACATGATGCTCAGTCCACCTGTTGTTTATTAGCCTGTGTTAGCCTCATGCTAATGTTTGAGACTCTTGGTGAAGGTTGTTTACAGGAGCGCAGAGCTGCTGAACTCCAGTTATTCACGGTTTGTCTGGACTTCCTCGGTCAGGTGTCCTCTCTCTGACCTGAAAGGTAAACCCTGATCTTCAGCCAGAGCCGGTCAGAACCATTTTGGTGCCCTGGGCAAGATTCAGCAGGTGCCCCTTAAATTGCAGCCAGTTTGACCATCAAAGATTATTTTCATCCACTTAGAGAAAACTGGTTTACAGCTTTATATTTAACATCATTTATTTATTTAAAAAATAAAGAATAATAATATTTATTATTTTATAAAATACTGAATAAACATGAATAAAATGGTAATAACTCTAATATTTCTTATAAATAAACACAAAATAAAATAAATAAAAACAACTAGTGTAACAGAACAAACAATACCAAACAGTGCAGGGAGCAGAAGTGGGGACAGCAGGGGATGGTTTGAAATGTTTTAAAATTGCATCTGGAGAGAGAAGATGAGCATTTGTTAAACAATCTGCATTTTATAATATAGTGTGAAAACAAAATATTATTTTCTGTTCAGAGCAGAACAGAAACCTCAGTGTAGTTTTTCAGGTGAGCCCAAACAACCAGACCTACAGCATGCACAGCTACTGTATCTGTTCAGAGAGGACAAAATGCATTCATGCTCTTAGACATCAATACTCTAAAGGCAAGAGGTTAAAACTATTAATGACAACAGGAGGTGGAAAATAAACATTTTAATCGACTAGGGTGAAAGCTAACTAAGTACAGAGATGTCAGTAAATATAAAGGTAGGTTTTGTGTCCCAAACGACTCAGCCTACTTCACAAAAGAAGAGGTGTATTTGGAGGCTGGCGCCCCTATGCCACGGGCCAGCCCTGCCTCCAGCAGAAGGGTTTTGACTGGGTGTCTCTGAATGTGTTTTTGCAGGCAGCATGATGAACTCCCTCCCAGGAAGAGCCGCTCTGTCCCTGTGTAGGCGTACGGCGTCGGCGGGCGGGATGGGGGTCTTCGCCGGTTCCCCGGGTCACCATGCCGGGGGGATGCCAGCTGACTGTCTCCAGGCTGTGCGGGTCTGTCACTCCGGGACGGGCAACAAGCCCAGCATCAGCACCAAGAAGAGGGGCTACGACATCACCAGAAACCCACACCTCAACAAGGTGAGCTTACCTGTCCATCACCTGGACTCTGAGGCATGAGATAAATATACCATACATTCCTCAGCTGGGTCTCAAATGTCTACAGGAGTAGTGGAAGGTTCACAGCTGTTGACCTGTGCCTTTTTAAAAACTGCTTTAGATGTCTCTTCTTTTTTTGTATTATATCTTTGCTTTAATACAGTCTATAGCTTCTGTACAGTTTATTTTAATTTACTTAGCTGTTACTACAATTTATTTATTTTTATTTTTTTATTTGTACTTGTATTTGAATAATGCTATTCTATTTTAGGATAGGATAATACTTTATTGATCCCCAGAGGGGAAATTTGGGCGTTGCAGCAGCACAGACAAGTAAGCTCAAAATACAAAATACACATTAAACAGAATAGATAAGATAAGATAAATAAAAACAGGGGGTATATACAAGTACAAAATGAATGATGAAGTTAACTATGCAGGGAGTTGAGACAGTATTTGCAGAGAATGACAAGATAAAGTGAGAAGTGATGATTAAAGTGACTTGGTGTGATCAATAGCAGCAAGTCATGTAAACAGCAGAGAAGAGAGGCAGTGTTGTACCACAGTAATGCAATTATTTTATATATAATTTTAACTTTTTTTTGTAGATGACTCAGAGAGAAACGCACAAAAATTCCAATGCACCTGTTCTGTCCTGTACCTGTGCAAATGGCAATAAACATCTATTCTATTCTAGTCAGGAACAAGTTAAAGGTGCAGCAGGAAAATATTCGCACACTGAGAAGAACGAAAGTGGACAGACATTTCAGATAATCTGAATTTCTGCAGCTCTTACTTTTGTTGGTTCATCCCAACATATTCTGATGGGAACAACCTCGGCAGCACTCCCGTCTGTACTTTTAATAATAATACTAATAATAATAATAATACATTTTATTTATAAGCGCCTTTCAAGACACACAAGGACACTGTACAACAATCAACATTTAAAAAACAACGATGGATAAAATCAGCATACAATAAAAGAAATGAGATGTAGGACAGAGTAATTACAGTTAAAATGTTAGAGATCTTGAACAGATGGGTTTTGAGTCTGGATTTTGAAGATGGGGAGAGAGTCTTTTGTTCTACTCTGTGTATGTGAGTACTTGGCTGCTGCATCTACACTACAGCGTAAAAAAGTTGTTTCTGCACAGAGTTCCTCAAAGTCCAGAATTTCACTTTCTCTGTGTGAGCTGTTACTAAAGACAGCGCCACATCCTGCAT